AGAGAGAGAGAGAGAGAGAGAGAGAGAGAGAGAGAGAGAGAGATTGCGACAATAAGAGCCAGACAAAATATTTTTTGAGAGTCTCTGGGATTGTGCTGAGGGAGAATCGTTGCGAAGAAAGAATCACTGTCGGTACAGAAGCATAGATTTTGGATAGTGGAAAGGTACGAAAAATCGTCGAAAGATACTCGAGAGAGATTTAGGAAAGGCGTTTTTGAGTAATTCTCGAGCGATTGAAGGTTTAAAGAATTTCATTAATTTACAAAGCGTCGCATCTTGTACATCTGAAATTGCGAAATGAATTCGTGCGACTTTTCAAAAGGCACAGGAATCTTTGAATAACATCATATATGAAGATTTTCATATATCTGCGTAAAATATTCTTATGACTTTTTTGGCATCTCAACGCCAAATATATCTCAGTAAATTTCTGCAAAGAATTTAGAAGAAATGTTTTTGATAATTGTACATTATGATAATCAATCCTCCGAACCGAATACGAATAAAATTGATACACTCAATATAGAAAGAATACTACACTCTAAAGATTTATCGCATTCCTTCGCTAAAAATTCCACTGAACAAAATTCCTAAACTGCTAAAAATATCCAAACAAAAAATTTGACGAAATAAAAAAATAAACACATTCAGAGGGATACGCATAAAGCTTTTCTCTGAGTGAGGGAAAAACTCGACGCTTCTCTCCAAACGGTACAATTTCTTTCGTATTTTTTTCAACGATTACACAGTGTCCTCGTTTCAGCACTTAGGAGGTTCGTTCGTGTTAGCTGCACTTTCATGAACTTTCCGCGCTCACGACAAGGCAAATACTCCGGATTACATAGGATTATAATTGAAATTTATCGTATACTTGAGAGAAAAATGTGAAACGAAGAATACAGGTTAACACTGCGCAGCTGGCACGAACAGAGCCGAGGTGTTCGTCGAGTCCTTTCTATCTACTTTCGGCGAACGAACGAACGGACAGACGAAGGAAAGGCGGTGCAGTAGTAAGCGACTGGTCCAAGTACGGCTGCTCCAACGAGGGTCGGAGATCTGTCAGCTTCTGGCTCGTCTCGGAGAACAGCTGATTCAGCCTAATCGAGCGTCGGTGAAATGCCAGTCTGTTCGAATTCTGCAAAACAAACGCGCGATGAGTGTTAGCGAGGTGTCCGAGCGGCCGCCAGGACGGTAAATAAAGAACCACGCATGTGGAAAAATCAATGAGGGTGCAACGTGAGGAGCGTATCGCGCGAAATTGCCGAGACTGCCGAGACGCGGCCGACGATTACGGTACGTGAGTATACGTCGCTATCCGACGATATCCGCGAGAAATCTTTTTAACCGGGTCAAATGTTAACAGAATACGCGAGAGAGCATCGCCGCCAGGTTATGTTGCGCGACGTCTGTACGGCCGTAACGTCACACGCACGCCACGACCGTAGGCGAGTGCGTGTGCGCGCGGCACAATAACAGAGAGGCGACGTGGGTCCACCGAGATGTTGACATTAGACGAGACCGAACACGAGAACATGCCGAAGAAGGCCGGGAAGAGTCGGGAGGAGAAGAAGAGCAAGGCTGAGAAACGGAACAGGCGTGCTGCCAGCAGCGGGCGTAAGCTGAGGAGCAGCTTAGCTCATCCTCCTCACAAGATCAAATCCGAGGAGGAGGAAGCGACCATGCAGCTCTCGTATCATGAGAAGGACCCTATAGCTTCCAGTGTCTCCAAGGAGATCAAAGTGGAAGCCCCTTCGTCCAATGAGGACGAGTATATAATACTGTCTCACTTGGAGTCCCTCAAGGACGCCGAACTGAACGCAGAGGAGCAATGTATGCAAAAGATCTCCAAGAGTCGACTCAGGCAGAAGCGTCTCAACAAGATGATACTGCTAAGAAAATGTGCTGCTAATCGCAACAATCTGCCAACGGTGAAGACTGAGGACGAGTCCCATGAGAACACCTCCTTTGAGGAAGATGGTCGTGTCCCTAATATTGAAAATCATATATATGAGAATGATGTGGAGGAGCAGCAGATGGATGCCAAGGTTAAGCGGGAAAAGATCAAATGGTCAAAGAAATTGCATCCGCTGTCTCTTTATTACACAGACAGGAGCAAGCCTTACCTGAAGTGTCCCGCGTGCGGTGCTATGTTTTTCTGCTCAAACACGTATCAGAGGCACTTGCTCTCGCACATGCAGAAAACTGTTACGTGTGCGACCGAGAATTACGTATGCAATTTTTGCGACTATACGCATACAGAGCCTGGTATGCTGTTCGCTCACTTGGCCAAGCATCAAAACCAGTGTGAGGCCTGTAACGAGAGCCTGCTGCGCAAGGATAACTTCGAGAAGCACTGGTACCAGTGCTCCTTGGCGTTCAGCCTGAAACGCGATCATCACGGTAAATTCGTATGCACGATATGCGAATTGGTGTTCGACCTCCTGGCTCAATTGGAGAAACATTGGTTCAAGCATACCTGTAAGAAGCAGAAGTCCTACCAGTGCAATGAGTGCAACGGTCTCTATGAGACCATGGAGACCCTGAAGAATCACAAGTGTCTCAAGTGTCCGGTCTGCGGCGAGGTCTATGAGAGCCTGCACCGGCTGAAGATTCACACAATGTGGATGAAGCATTACTTGAAGTGTCCCATCTGCTCTTACGAGTTCATCCTCTCCACGGACCACGAGAAGCACTTGTCCTTACACAGAAAGGTGTACCAGCCGATGAAGGATTATATGCACTGTCTGCGCGCGGCCGACGGTAAAACCTTTCAGTGCAATCTCTGCGACAAAATATTCTACGCCTTACCGGCCCTCCTGTCACATCTCACTGAGGAGCACGACGTGAAGACCGTGAAGACGGAAGAGACTGACACGGAAGACAATTTCGAGCTGAAGGGAGACATTATCGACATAGTGGTGGTTCCTGACTTCAAAGATTCTGTCAGCTATTCTGACAGCTGTAGCGACACGAACCCGTTGCAGCAGGACACCGATGTGGAGGATCAGGCAGACTACGAGCTCAAGTCGTGAAAATGAAAAACAACAACTTTCATTGTGAGCCGTTGTTAGCAGCTTTTACTGTCACAACCACACAGGCGTATTCTCATCAAATATTGATACTCAACATAAACTGAACTATCAAAATATGAGACAACAATTGCAAGTGCCGCCATTACGAAGCAGTAGACCAGAAGCAATTTATCTGGAAACGCTATTTTTCAAGGTGCATCATTTTGCTTCGAGATTTTTGATATCGATTTATATGAACCGAGACGATCGTGTTGATTTGAAGTACAGAAACGTGCTGTATTCTCCCTTCATCTTTTTCGTTAAGCAAAATATATATCGAGACAAGAGGGTAACGATAATTAAACGCTATATTAGCAATCCTAAAGTAGATATTAACAAAACGGATAGCTGCTGTGAGGCGATCGGAATAGCAGATATTTTCGGACGAACCTAAGTCTCTCTCTCTCTCTTTCTCACTCTCTTTCTTCCTATACATCTATTTAATACGCGCTGGCGAGCGACCATTTCTCACACTGCATTCTCTTTTTCTTTTCTCTCACATAAGATGGAGACGCACTTTGTGAAACATCGTCGCTCGCGGGCACATGTTAAACACCGTTTTTTTACAGCTCCGTTCTTCACTACTTACACAGAATAAATACAAGTTATATTTGTAACATAAATACATTCCGCTATCATACGCGATGCGCTCCTCTTAAGCGGATTCTACTTGTTTGAAAAATTCTTGCATCACAGTTGTAATTAATTTCTGTGTAAAGATATAGACAGATCACATGTTAGGTTTTGAACCTCATATAATATGTATATATTACCTATGTATCGCGACACATATAGTTTATATAACTTGTTATTTCTTCGTTTTTATAATTATTCCTACGTTGGAATATTATAAAAAGCGATATTCCGAGCTATCAGTCCTGCTGTAGCCTGATCATGACGTCTCGCTACGTTAATTAGCTTCGTTGATTTTATAATAAATTCGTATCCGAATCTGCTATTTCCTAGAATCTAAATCGCATATTGCGCGCGCGCGCTCCCGACGAACTTACCGTTCTCGTGATCGCATGAAGTTACGTTTGGTAGCAGCATAAGAAACACGGAGCTAAACACGATGCATTTATAACGTATGGTTAAATATCGAAAACACCTCGCAGGTTATACATCATTATTATTATTATATTTACGCGGATTTCTCATTCGCATCCGCTCTCGTGTATCGGGGGAGGAGATATTTTGCAGCGTGCGCTCGTATGTATAAGTCTAATGTCGTAGGCCTACGGTACTATACTTTACATCGGCTCTGTTATGTATTCGTTTTGAAAAATAAACGTTCATTAGCAATAATATTCTCCTTTGATACACACACACCACATATACGCATGCACACATACATACATATACACGCGCACACACAGATACACATATGCAAACGGAGAGAGACACGCCACTTTATATCGCATATATATCGAGAGCAGCGAGAAAAGTAGCACCCTCGAGTCTTTTATAGTTCAGAAATTAGAGCTCATGAACCGGCGTGTAATTCGGCGTGTAATTCGGCGTGTAATACCGGCGTGTAATAGCACAAATTTTTCTCATCCTAAAGATATCCTGACGACATCCTATGTCTTAAGGATATCCATAGGATATCTATAGAATATCATGTGCTGCCTGGGTATAACTCGATTAAGAGGAACGGATGCGAAGAAGTTGCGTCTGAAAGCTTTTATGCCACGAAAATGAAAATCACGATATTTACTGAGCACGCAATTATTGTACAATTACATTGTATAGCTCTTGTGTACCCCTATATGTATAACCGCCCCCCGGCGCGTCCGTAACTCTTTCTCCCTCTGCCTTAGTATTTTTCAATACGTCTTTTGTTAAGAAATCTCGCACCAAGTGCGCTACGCGTGAGTAGCAAGGCCGAATATTGAAGCTACTCGTCTAATTGAGAGAACGTTAAAAAAAAATCTTATCTCTTTTGACAACGCCCATACCCCGTTTGTAGTACCTAACCGTTGATTCAATCGACAGCCGTGAAATCCATTGTATACGGAAAACGTTGTTACTTTTTGATATTCATACGTCGCGCACGTCGTTAGCGCACGTAGCGTAGAGTTGCGTATTCAATAGGCAATAAGTATATATATGCTTTATTGTATAATTCGTCCGCTTCAATATTTACTTTTATACTCAAAATCGTCTTTCAGAGAATATTGTAAAAATAAAATTGGTTTTTCTCTCGAGATTCATTTTCAGTCAGTAGATTGATGTATGCCCGACTTCCTCATCGAAACGCAGCTGCAAGTCGTCTGCTCAGGCTTTGATCCACTGTTCCACATATTCGAGGGCGCCCAGAAGAATCTTCTTCTCCGTGACTCTCAATTGAACCGCCATCTTCTTCACATGCGGCAACGTGGTCTCTAAGAGCTCCAGATCCTCCTGCGAAGAGAGAAAGAGAAAAAGATTCGTTAACGATGTGTTACTCGGCAGGGCAAGCCGGCTACGGGGTTTCACTTTCACCTTCAGCGTGGTCGGGTAATTAGCAATCAGCAGTTGCAGCCTAGTCAGCAGAAATTTCCTGACGTTCTCCTCGACGACGGTCTCTAACGCGCAGTCCATGTGCTTCAGATCGAACACCTTGTCCGAACGTAGCCAATGCGCCAGTTCCGCTTTTCGCATGCTGAACACTCGTAGGAAGGCTAGCAGCATATCGGAGATGGGCTCCGTGCCCGGTTTTAGCAAGAACTCCCCCACTGACGGTAAATCCAGTTTACTCAAGAGTTCCGTTCGCTCCTTCTGAAGGGAATCCGCTTTGCTAATGCCGAGGCGAAGCTTGAAGCCATCCTGCAAATTATAATGTCTTTGCAACTCTCTACAGACTGCCACATCGAAATTCATGTACTCGCTCTCAGATTGCTCGATCGATTTATTCGTGGTGAAAATATAATTGGAGGATTTACCACGACGGTGAATCCATTCACTCTTTAAGAACTGTATTAACAGTCGTTATTTGAAACTCCTCTCAAGTGAAATAGATTTTAATTTAGTGTTAGATGAAAGTTTTTCAGTCGAATCACGATTACAGGTACAATGTTACATACAGTTCAACTGAAATATTTGAATCTATCTTTGAATAAAAATTCACCTCACATAAGTTTTAGGTGACAATTATTAATACGAATCATGGAGGTGTAAGAAATAATAGGAGGGACTGTAAAGCTTTTTAGATAATGAGGGTAAGTATGGTAAGTGATTGGTTGACCACAGTAACATGGCGTTTTGTACTTTATTGTCGCGCTTTGGTAGACTATACCAACAATATGGCGCATACTGTTTCCCTCTTACGTCTGATTAGACAGGCCAAGGGGGGAATTCCTCCCTCCTGTTATTTCTTACCTCCATGATACGAATCTAAGACTTTGGTAAACTTAACTTTATGAAAAAAACTATTAAAATAATTATTAGGGAAGTTAAAAAAGAAATTTTCGAGCACACACTTGATCGTTGTCCATGTAAACGAAGCCCGAGTGCACGAAGAAGTCGGAATTCGTCCTCGGACCGTAACTAATGAATATTTGTTCCCCTTTCTGGAAGTTTCTCAGCGCATAGCACTCGCAGCGATCTGTCGTCGCGTTGAAGTCCGTCGTGATCTGCAAGTCGGAGACAAGAATGCATTAATCGTCCGCGCGCTCGCCCGCCTCATTATCCCGTGCAAAATGAGACTCACCTTGCCGTTCTCGTGATTGCACATATCCCACATCGGGATTAAAGCGTGGATCATGCGCGAGCCGTCCGGACTCGGCACCAGATTCTGCCTCGTCATCACCGTGGAAACTGCCCAACTGAAAAATTCATTGAACGTTATTAGTTACGAGTTACACAGCTGGTGAATTGTTCGGCTTCTTTGTTCTCTGCCCCATCTCGTCGGTAATAAATCACTTTCAGTGATTCGTCAGCAATTGTTTTTTTTTAATTTTTCTCAGCACCGCGATATGAAAATTATTAATATTCATATATACTTAAAAGCGAAATGTTGCGTAATCTTTTGAAATTATTTCTTGAAGCAGAAATAAAGTTAGGATGAAAAAATCCGTATTTTTATAAATTATCTTAAAAAACATAATCTTTTATTTTATTATATTATGTAATAAATAATTTTAGATTTCTTATGTAAAATGAAATGATTATGTTTTTATGTCGTTATAATTTTACGAAACCATACATATGTTGTAATCTTTGATCTTCTGCCATCCTTTGCATATATTGTTCCATCAAAATATAACAACATAAAAATATAGCCGCTTTATTTTACCTGAAAAAATCCGAAATTATTTATTAGCTCACACTGAGAGAAAAAAAATATTTGAAAATTTCATGGAATATGCAGTTTATTATATTAAATTTATTATGTTAAATAATACAAAAAAATAATATAATAAACTTCATATATATTTTAGAAATAAATTTTCAAGTATTTTTTCTCAGTGCGATATATTGAAGGAAAGTTATCATTGCGCACAGGAAACTGCGTGATAACGAATGTTACACCAATACGATTGACACAATCGGTAGTCGAGAGTTCTATCTGAAGTTCTAATTAACGAAACATTAAAACTGAGAAAGCTTAGCCCGAGGATCCGATGTAAAACAGCCGATACCGAATCCGAGAGCGTAGTGAAATCTGGCGGCTATCAAAAGGCCGTTACGACAAACGTGTGCATTCGCATCAATCTACGGAGCGTGGAGTCGACTTTCGCCTTCAAGGAGATCCAGGAAGAACATTGTTAGCTCGCTGTGGACGACCGCCTGCTTTTCGGAACACAAGAACTTGACCTAGAATTCCGGAAATGAACGCACAAGAAGATTCATTGCCGCGTCGCTGTCGTCGTCGTTGTCGTTGTCGTCGTCGTCGTCGTCATCGTCGTCGTCGTTATCGTCGTCGTCGTCGTTGTTGTTGTTGGTGGTATCGGAGGCGGACTTTCTCTCTCTCTATCCGGAGAAACGCGCTTCTCACCGCCACCACACGCTCGTCCACGTGAGAGGATCGCGTGTTACTCTCGTTCGCCGAGATTTCATCGTCCGTACGTACAAGATCCACTCACGTACGTTATCGAGGGTCCGGTTGTTGCGTGATCGAGGGCTCTTCCTCTTAGAACTAATTAATTCCAGTAAACTGTGCCAAGCTAATAACGCATGATCGCTCGTCGTTGTTGGCTGAACAAATGCAGTACGTTTCTCTGCGGCCTTCACTGTTAAATCTAAATTAGACAACTCACAATTTGGAACAGCAGAACCGACAGACGGGTGTCGCGACAATTTCGCTACGCGAGACTTCCCACAGACGACTTTGCGAGTGACAATAAGTTTTTTTAGATCTGATTTTTCAACAATAGCTTAAACTTAGATTTATGTTTAAAATCTGTTCAAATATGTCAAATATATTGTTAGAATTTAAACTTAGATCTACGTTTAAACTACTATTAAAAAATCGCTCTTTAAATATATAATAAATTGTTTGTAACGAAGATTTAAGCTCATGAAAATGCAAATTTTTTTTCCATTCAAACATCGCTTCCAATTCAAGAAACGGTTCAGTGAAGAAGTCGCACAGTTTCGCCCTTCGAATGTTTTTTAATTTAGCGTTGTAGAAAATCACATTTTCACGAAGGATCATGCTGTTTGCGTTATTTTTTTTCTTCCAACATGGAACCGCAATCGGAATAACGCGAGTGTAATAATTACGCGAAACGACAGACGCGCGATTCCACCTCGCGTGGAACGTTTTCGCCTTTAGAGCGTCCGCGCAATCAATATAGTATCATTATTAATGTAAAACGCCGACGATACGCTAATGTTACCTCGCATACTCGAGGTTTCTCAGTCGATGTACCCAGGTATCCTCGAGGATTTCCGATCGCACGAAGGTCTCTCTCGCGAATTTATTACAATCGCATGAAAGTTCGGGCTTGTGTGAAAGTTCGACGGCGGCGGCTACGGCGGAGGCGCGTCGTCTCTCGTTTGCGAAGCGACGCGGCTCTTCACGAGTTCCTCGGCTCACGAGCGAGGTATCAGCGAGCGAGGGATATCGTCGAGAGCGGCGAAGCGCGTTCTCCCCTTGGTGTTTTCGCTCGGGAGAGCCATTTTCCTCGACCACGCGCTGCGGCTCTGCATCTGCATGCGCGTATGTGCGCGTGCATGTGCATGTGTCGTCGCATGCTGCGAGAGCGATCACGCGTGTCTTTTCGCGCGCGCTACCCGCTCACTGCATTCAGCAACGTAACATACCGTAACCGTACCGATGATTAATGACAATCGAGCACCGGTAACAACATGATTCCCGCGCATATTTTCAGTGCACACGCGTTTCCTTTTCTCTTTACCCCGAGAGAAAATCTAACGCCCGTATCAATTGTTATTACTCGAAATTTGTCTCGACTGTGAGATACTCCGACTCGAATTCAGAGCTAGATGAAAGTTTTTCAATTGAATCACGCGATTACAGATATAAATGTCACATACGTTATGTAATTCAATTAAAGAATTTGAATCTAATTCTGAATAAAAATCTGAGTATCTCACGTAGGACAAGTTTCGAGTAACGACTATTAATAGCAGCCTAAGAAAGAAAGAATCGTTTCTATCACTCGCGGTTTTTCCCTCGGTTCTCCTCTCTGTCTTGTGTAACGGTGCAGCGCTGTTTTTTTAGCATGTATAATTTATGGAAATTTATCGGATACATAGACATTTCGCGAAGTACGTGGGAGACGATGTGGCAGCGAGAATACAATTACAATAATCTTAACTGATGTAAATATTACGTGCGCTCGAGTCCTCTAACGAGAAGTTCTTAACGCGCACATAAGTATACGCATTTCTCATAATACAACAAAGTCTCTGTTATGGCGTGTAATATAGTTAACCGGGACAGGAACATATTACGCGGGTGTCTGCATTAGAAATCTCGAATCGCCGACGCAGCATCTCACAATTATCATTAATCATTGCGAGTGCAATGCACACGTACGATATCCGCGGTGTCATTCGCGCATCGATAACAAATGTAATCGTAGAATATTAAAAAGAAGTAAAATCCAAAGTAAAATAAATCCAACTGAAACGCATCGAATTGCACACGCAAATATTACTATACTTAACTTTGTGATCACACACAAGATTATCTCAGATATTGTTTACCTGAACAGGCGTTTGCAAAAGGCGCTGATCTTTTATGAAAGACTCATGACTTATGATTCAAGATCTACGAGTCTTTGATAAAAAAATTAGCATCTCTCGCGGACACCTGGTTGGGTAAACGCAAGATGAGGAATAACGATGAGGTGAAGATGATATCTCGTAACGAGACCCCGCGAGAACGAAAGAGAGGAGCAGCAGTCGAAGTCTCTCGACTTTCGACATCGCGCAATAGCACAAAACGCGGGAACGATTCGCCGCCATTGAAATGTAATAAGAAATCCTCCGATAAAAGAGAGTTTCATCATCCGGCACATCATTACAGTTCCTCTGCGAAGACGCGGATTGGAAAGTATCGCTCGGCCGCTCGCGCGCTAATATCATCCTTGTGGGTTAAGAGAACATGAAGTTTCATTAGAGGCACGCGGTAACTAAGGCGATCGCTATTATCTTCAGCATGAAACGAGCAGCTCAAGTAACGTGTCCGAGGTCGGTTGTAAGGACCCTTCGTCGTCACGGCACGGCACGACGTGCTCTTCTTATCGCGTAGAAAGTGCGCATAGAGAGGAGATCTCACGATCTCCGATTCATCGCACGACCTTCCCACGTGTGCTCGACTCCATCTCTGTGTACACAGCAACTGTGTACAACATAGTAAAGCTTATTTTACGATTTACGAGAATCGACGACGAACTTCGACACGCGCAATTGAAAAAACGAGGAGGCCTAACGCAGGTAAGATTCCGGAGAGTCGGAGATCAGGCCGTTGAAGAACTGAAATTCTATTTTCGGACGGGAAACCGACGGGTTCTCCGAGAGTAGCGTAGAGTTTAGCGTGCAGAGTTAGCGCGAATCGCACATGGAAGGAAAACTCGGTTTACTCTCTAAAACTCTTGAAGTGGGATCTCACTCAAAATAAGTGCAAAGTGGCGAGTAAGTATTTTCATTCGTGGCGACAGTGAAGATACTGCCACTCGAAATCACAAGAGTGAATGTCTCACTCAAGCTAAGAGTAGATTCTGACTCTAAATGAACGAATATTTCAATCGATTCGAGTGAATATGTTCCTGAATATGTGACGATGTTGGATGTGATGTAATGGTGATGTAGTGGATACATCGTATTCACTAAATATGAAAGTCGGTTCACTCAAAGAAATTTAAAGAGTGTGTAATTGATTTTCTGTCGTCAAAGGACCACGAGCGAACACTCAGTTATAGGAACGATTCTTTCTTTGCCGGAAGTTCCTATTTAGTCAGCAGTTCTCAGTTGTCTCAACCTAATTTTCACGCAATAAAATGCTCAGAAGAACGTCCTCTGTCACGACAACAGCGATATCGTTCTCGTTACCGAGTTTTCGTCTGATCCCCATCCTGTCGCGCGAATTGAGATTCTCTTTTCCGCGCAAGAGGCCGCCTGAGACGGACTTAACGAGCTTAGCGGTCGGCTCTCGATGTCTATCTGCACCCCGGTGAATCGCAGAAGAATCGCGTCGTCATTACCGTCCCTCATCATCATCCTCATCGTTATGTCGTCGTCGTCGTTTTCCCGCCGTTCATTAGCGGCGAATTCGCGACACTCGACCGTGCCGTCGCGTCTGATCTCATTCGACCGCCGTGATGTGCAAATTCCCCGCGATGTTACGAGTAACCGTGTTATAACGCGCGTAATGCCGTATAATCGATACGAGAGTTGCAGTTTCCGACGAGAAACAACGGATTCGCGTGCGAGTGCACTCCTCGAGAAGCGGCGGTTCTCGCTGTCGGTCGATCTTCCCGATCACTTCGGCGTTTCTCCGAACGTTTCTCTATACGATGCACGCTCCGGGCGAAACACGTCGGCGCTTCCCAATCTGGATAGTAATTACAATAATAAACGCTGATTGCTTCCGCAAAGAAAAGACTCGCGTTCGACCGAGCTGGTGATCCGTGCGCAGGCCGCGGTTTGCCGGATTCGTCTTCGGCGCGACTCAACGGTTGCGGAGAGAACATCTCGTCGAGAGAGGAGCAGCGGCGGTATTTAATGGCAGTGGTAGTAGTAGTAGAAGACTCGCGCTGGAGACTACTCCTCTCTCGAGTTTCACCGACTTACTTAGGAGCGCGCGCGGAGAAAAGCGACGTCAGTCGGCGCAGGACCGATTTGCCGTGAGCGCAAGAGCGCGTCTCGCCGCCGTTCACGTGGTTAGGAACTCGTGCGCGCGAAAGTTGATACCGCCGTCGAGCGACGAGAAGCTGGCTGCTCTTTCGCCAGATCGAAAATGGAATACGACGCATCGGATCGGGACGCACGTCTCGCGCGGTAACCCGACAGGGAAAAGCCCTCGCGGGAATACGCGAGAGAAACTGACGAAGCGACGACGGGGTGAAAGGAAGTGCAAGAGTCACGTCGAGGGTTGCGAACGGGACGATTCCTCGATTATCCTTCGCAGGTTCCGTGCTCTTTTCGTTAAGTCCGCTGGTATTATCGACGCAAAAGTGACACACGGTGGACTGAAAGAGATCGACTCGCACCAGATATGATGAATTAAGAGCGCGGATTATTAATTGCAGATAATCCGAATGTTTTAAGAAATACAGTGCGAGGAATAGAGAAAATCGCGAGATCGCTTTCTCGTACTGACATAATTGCGGCGTGACTCGGTGATCCATATAATTCGAGATATCTCAATTCGACGGGCCGTTCGTTCGCCTGCATGGTTCTTGAGAGAATTCTGCGTCTGTGCAACAGGAAGAACGTGATCTTCGTTATTCTGTGCGCCGCGGTGATCTACGTGCACCTGCTCGGCGCGGACGAGGAGATAAAGTGTCGTGGACGAGGAGTGCGGTGTCGTGAGGACGAGGAGGCATCGAGGTTCCTGATCGCGCTGCAACTATGCGGAAGGCGGTCTCCGTGCTCGCGTTGATCGCACTCGCGTGTGACTTCTTCTCGCGCGATGTTCTGGTCCACGGCGATCTCGCCGGAAAGCCGGAAACTGCGGGACGAAGCGATAGTTATGAGCATCATCAGGTGAGGATCGCGGCTTCTCGCTCTGGCGATCACGAGCGAAGCTACGCGAGGAATTCTCGGATACCTCAAACCGATGATAAATATATGTATATCATGCGCGTACGTGATTCGAAGTCGTTTCGTTGGGGGATAAATTAAAGAATTAACAGGATCCGGTTTCTCTAAAAAAAATAATAATAAAAAGAGAAGAACAGAAAACAAAAAGAAAAAGAAGAGCAGAAAGAAAAAAGACAAAAATTGTAAATTTTTCTTTTAGAGACTGACCGTTCGCAAAATTATTAGAAATCGACTTCTAAGAGAAAAATATAAAAAACGAGAAAAAAAATAAAGAAAGGTAAAAAAACAAAAGATTAGAAAGAAATAGAAACAGAAAGGAAAAAAAAAAATGTCTAAATTTTTCTTATAGAAATTGATCTCTGCTGAAAAATAAAATTTGAAATTAATTAAAAATTAGCAGAGATCGGTTTCTAAATGGAAAATATAAAACAGTAGAAAAAATAAAAAGAGCGGAAAGAAAAAGTAAAAATAAATAGACAAATAGGAAAAAAAGAATGTGCAAATCTTTCTTTTAGAAATTGATATCTGCTGAACAACAAAATTTGTGATCAATTCACGCTGCAATGTTTGTTTCTAATTAATATCTATTGCGAGAACTTGTTAATTGCGTCGAGTTTCTCGACACTCCATTAGAAACAATGTAATAGTGTTAGAAAAGAGCAGATTAAACGTTCGCATTATCCAAGATTTCGCGGACATAATTAGCGCGTCGGGATTTTTCGAAGGAACATTTCACGGCTCGATAGGATTAATGATCATATTAGCGAGCCGAAAGTAGTTCGCCCTCGGCTCTTTCAACCGGTTGTAGTGATTTTTTCATCGCTAAAACCGGTGAGTTGCAAAACACTGTGACATTTCTAGAAATACCGCGAGCATATTCGTCACACGCGGTGCCTCCGAAAGATACAAGATTGGCCGCACGAATGTGCGGAACCGATATCCCGACCTCTCTCGCTTGCGAAATGATCGTGACGTTCGCGGGTGACAGGTCCAACTAAGTTACGCCGTAATTGCTTTCATCAGGCGTCATTAAACTCAAGTAGATTCAACTTGAGTGCAGGATATTAAGAATTTCTCTTGATTTAGCCTTCTCTCGTGTCCGTGGCGGAGCCAAAATTCAGCGAAACCTTCTCTCCGCGAGTCCTTCTGTCGCAGCCCTCATTAATTTCGAACTTGATTGCCACAATTGGATTTAATTTTTCACCTCTCGAAATGAATCATGTAAATTCAACTTGAGCACGTGATATTCAGAATTTCTCCTGATCCAGTTTTTTTCTCGAATCGTGGCGGAACCAAAATTCGGCGAAGCGTCTTCGCGAATCGCATCGCAGTCTTCGTTAATTTCGAACTTAATTGCCACAATTGATATTAATTTTTCCCTCGCAACTCGACATGAACTTGACATCGAACTCTCTCTATCTATCTACATCTCTCTATTCTGATCTACTCTCTTTCTCCCTTCCTCGATTTACTTCCATCGTTTATGATTCAGAATAAATGCGCAATTCCTGAACGCCTTGGCGCACACATTCCTCTGTAGTTTTTTCTGCAACTGCCGTCATACTGTTTCTAAACGCACGCATACACGAGATATTGCAGTCGGCGTCTGAAATTGTTCCGTCGAAACGCTTTTCCTCCGGGAATTTTTCGTCGATGCGCTTGGCCGCGAGATCGACACAGCGTCACGACGAGAAAACTTGCGTGGCGACGCGGCGCGTAAACTACAAGAGAAAGAGAAAGCTGGTACCGCTCGCGGAAAGTTCGAGACTTTATGAACGTTTTGTCGCGTATTTCGTACGCCGCTAATATCCGAGTCGAGATGTCGAGAACCACGAAAAACGATGAAACTGCCCCGCGCGAAACAGCATGCGTATATTCGTCAGAATGTAAGAGCGCAGCTGTGTAAGAATGTAAGAGAACACTAACGGCGGTTTCGTAGTGATAGATAAAATACAGGACATGTATTGTTAAATCCATCGGCCTAAATCCAACGACTCGTATCACGGCGAATATAATAATAACTAATCAATGATAACGACGATGAAAAGTGAATTCGCATGAGATGTGCGCCGAATTTTCGCGCGAAGCGATTTCCGTTGATTCGCGTGGGAACAATCGCGAACAACTTCCCACGTGGATGGCGAATACGCAGGAGAGATTGAACCGTGGAAAATGGGATCGTGAAACGCGCGCGCGGGGGAGTGAAGGAGCGAGCGAGCGAACGAGCGAATGCAGGCGAGCGCGATCTTTTTCACGGCGAGAAAGCGAAGTGAAAATCATTCGCGAAAGCACGGAACACGCGGCGCATCGCCGCGGCTTTGTTTTATTAATGAAGTTACGAAATGCTTTAATAACGATAACGACCCAATTGGACCCGAACGTCCCTTACGAAACGCCGCGATGGCTCCCGCTTATGATTGGACTCGTTCGGCGTCGCTCGCGTGATTGTCTAATACGCCGCTACTTTAACAACGTAACGAAGTATTTCGAAGTGTAACGAGGGCTCCATAGCCGCGGAGTCGAATAATCGTTGTGGGGGAGAAAATTGAAGGCCAACGCTGGCCACACGCAAGCGACGTTGTAATGAAAACGAAAAGCGGCGAGACTGCTATTTGCGAAATCAGTGAACCGTCTGCAAGGATTTCGTCTGTGTGTGTGGACAATTGTACTGTGTACTCTTCGAATTTCTTGGAGTAGAGTCTCACTCAAAACGAGTCAAAAGTGGCAGTATTTTCATTCGAAGTTATAGTGAAAATACTGCCACTCAAAATCGCAATTCTAATTCCATATTCTGATTCCATGAGTGAATGTATTCCTGTAACAGTGGGTTACATCAGATCTCTTCAATTTCGTGTGAAAATATTTACTAGATTCCATTTTTGAGTGAAGAATTTAATCTTCACTGAAAGAAAAAATATTTATCGGTGATTACGAGTACTTATATTGAAAAATTTAGATTTAAGTAAATTTTATTATCCGCCGAACAAATATTTTTATTTAAACAAAAATTAAATTAAAAAGCCTCTAAAGAGATATACAATCAAGAGAAAATTTAAGAGCCAATAGGAGCCTAACACAGACGTAATATTTAATCAGATAAGTGAAAAACTTTGTGACTTATATAGGCTTTTTATTGATCCTCAAGTCTTCTCTTGGTTATTTCTTATTTTATCTCTCGGTATATATGAGTGAAAAATCACTTGATGGCTGTTCTACTTTTCGAGTAAAATTTCACTCCAAGAAATTTACAGAGCAACAGTTCACTTCGTATCGTGTGTAGGAAAGAATACAAAGAACATGAGGATAACTCGAACGCCGAATTTGTCGGGATGGGTTCGCGCATTTCACAAAGAGGAGAACGGAAAGTCCTCACGCGAAGAATCGCTCGCTCGTTCTCACACACACACACACATATACACGCGCGCGCGCGCGTCCGGTTTGCGAAAGTAAAAGCGAGAAATCGCCGAATCTCCTCGCCTTCGGCGCACCGCACGCAGAGGAAGATCCCCCGGCGAATAATCGAGAGATATCCGCGCGAGAGATCCGAGTGCTCGCGATGCGTACTTCCGCGACGCACCTCGCGATCCGTGAAAACCCGCGGAGATGATGGCGCGCTGCTCGCGCCGATAACCGCGAATTTTCCCGCGGGATATCGCATGTGATGACCGCGATTCATGCAAATATCCCGTGACAGTGTTTGCGGACTACGCGATCATCTGGATACTTTCTATCGTCACGGTCGTTGGCCTTTTACTATTATTCGCATGCCTCGTTTAACAGCGATTCGCCACGTGATTCGCGACGAATCGGAATTTGCCGAAGTTTGAGTTTCATATCCTCATGAACGACTCCAACAAGTAGCGAGCGTCGCGCTCGACTTGCTGTCGTAAAACTCGCGGAGCAATAGATTAAATAATTACACGAATGTATGAGCATGAAGTATCGTTGAGTTGATCGAGCGCGATATACTATAAGAAACAATGTAATCTTACGTAAATCTAATTCGTCTTACATAAATAATAAATATTATTTTACAAAAGATAATTTATACCATGGAAAATTAATAACTACCTTCACATTCAGTTATATCGTATAATAATTACGAATACACGAAAGAAATTATTTGCTTTGGAGCAACAAAAAATATGCAATCACGATTATATATAACGTCGACGTAATATTCTTCCGTGTTTTATATAAAAAAATACTTTATACGAAAAGAGATATTTTATATAAAAATATAAATAATTGAAATACTTTCCCAATCGGTATCGGCAATAATATTCTCGTAAATTCTACGAGAATACAAGAGCAAGGCATCATTTAAAAAATGATGATACATTTACACATTCATACATCGCTTATAATAGTCGACTAAACACAGCTGGTTCTGCCTTCTTCCAGAAGGACGCACGCGACCAGTTCGACGACGCTGAAGTACCGCGAAGAGTCGTGGAGGATCGGGAACGAGGACCGAACGAGCCCGTAGGGAAATGGAGGAGCAACGGCGAGGCACTCGAGCCGAAGTGGCGCGATGGCGATTCCGTGCCTCTGTTGCCCTTCTCTCACTACCGGTCATACTCGAGGGACGACGAGGTCGACGACGTCGAGCAGGACTCGCCCGAGGCGGCTCGTCGACCGCTCAAGTATCGCTACGCCGCCAACCAGAATCGTGCCCGAGGGAGAAGACTTCCGTTTGCGGATGAAGATGACTACGAGCCGATGTATCGCGGTCGCGACCACAACGACCCTGACGAGGACTATCCGCGCAAGAGACGTCGTCCGCTGAAGAACCCGAACGACTCGGTGCTTCTCTACGAGGAGACGATCGAGAATGCGGCGAGCAACGATGGAAAACGCGGCCGCAACACTGTTGGCGATCCGCCCAAAGACGGCGAAAAGGAAGCCACCTCGGCGAGGTACCACGAGGCTTTCCAGGCTCGTCCGAACGAGTATGAGCATGAATTCAGCGATGAGGAATACCTGAGGCCTCGCCCGAGGAAGAGGCGGCCACCGCAGAACTACGAGTTCGCTTTAGTGAACGAGGCTTCCTCCGAGGTAAACGAAGAGGTCACAGGTACTACGCAACCTCCGACGCACTTGAAGGATCAATCGATTGCACAACCGTCAGACAACGCACGCCGCTCGGGGAACGCATTCGAACTGAAGACGCTGCTGAAAATGCAACAGGAGGAGGGTTCGAGCCTGTCGGAGATTTTGCAACGCAGGAATCTGACACTGAGCGATCTGCTGAAGGGAAAGGCCGATGTAATCAATGCCCTGAAGTCGAGGATTGCCGACGAGTCCGACGAGTATATCGAGGAGATGTCGAGGGTGATGTCCAACTCGCTGATGAAGCTCGCTGCCACAGTGTCACCGCCATGGAGGTCCACGCAGGCGTCCACGTCGACGTCCGAAGCTATTACGACCAAGTCTGCAACTTCAAGTATCCCGAATGACACGGGATTCAAAATAACAGTCGTCCCAGATAACATCTCGACGAAGAGTTACGACGAGGTGGCTTCAAATGCCACGAGCAACACGACGGAGGAGGAACCGCAGAGTGCTGAGAGGATGACGCAACGACAAACCGTGCACGACTCCTCGTGGCCAAAATTGACCACTCCCCCGAGTCTCTCAATCACTACATCGACGTCATTGCCTGTGGTTAACTCCATGGAATACTTCCTGAACGATGACGGCAACGCGGGATCGACGAGCGACCGCAGCGCAAAGTTTGAGAACCTCGACGAGGACGAGATCATGGAGTTCTCAGATTTCACGGACTTCAAGAAGGCGAAGAGCTCGATGACACCAGCTTGGCCGAGCGAAAAGAACACGCCACAACAATCGTCGGCGAGAGAAACGGGAGAACCTCGTGACTTCGAATCCACCTTGAGCATCGAACAGATTCTCAATCCCACGGAACGCATAGAATTGACGAAAGACTGCGGCGACCAAGGCGACGACGTCGAGGAATCCGATGACAAAGAGGCGAGTCAAGACAACGTCCAATCGATCTCTATCAGCGGACCCTTCGCGGAGGACTACAACGCGTTCCTCGAGGCCGAATATCAAAACGACGCTGCGCTGCGCTTCGGCGAAGACGACGGCAAACGAAACACCGTGAAAGCCGACGATGACGTGAACAAGAACACCGCGAATTCGGAGACGAACAAGAAACGAATCGCTGACGAAAAGGATGAATTACACGATAAGAATCATTCGAGCGAGTATCACCGCGTAAGTCGACCAGAGAAAAACGGCGATCGCGCGTTGGAGAACCATCGGATCGAGTCGAACAATAGGCGCTACGAGGAGGTCGTCTCCGAGATCGAGCCAGAGGCGCGAGCGGAGATCTTCGAGTTGTTCGCGTCTGGGTCAGCCGGCAAGCGGCTGGAACGATTGCTCAAGTCGCGAAACATGAGCGTAGAGGAGCTAATCGCGCTACGTCAGCGAGGCTCCAGCAAGGTTCATCTGACGGAGGTGTCGCGGCTGCGAGTACCTGAGTCGAAGAATCTTCAGACCTCGGAGACCTTCAGTCCGAACAACAGAGATATCGTCATATCAGTAGCGTCGTCGAAAGGTTCTAACGAACCTCTAAACCTCGCGGATACGAAGAAGGAAGACGCGAGGGGAGAGAACGCAGAGATTTCAACGAGCAGAGTGAAGCAGGATATCGTGAGCTATCTGCACAACCCATTCTTCGATAAGGACGCGGAGAACACGTCGATGTCGAGGTTGTTGAATCTCGTGGAGCGCGACAGAAACGCGTCGAGGAAAGCGACATTCGCGGACAACGAGGCGAGAGATGACGACGAGCTGGAAGACTCCCGTCGGACGGTGCAGATCGTCGACCTGTTGACAACCTTCGGCACCGTGCCTTTCGCGAAGGAAGTGCAGCGACAGTTCGAGTCCAACTTCGGCGGTGGCGAGGAACATGTGTTGGAGACGAGACCTACCGTGAGCAACGACCACGCGAACATAGTGTTGATCAACGAGGAGGAGGAGACGATCGTTCGATCGAACAACTCTGCGAACGAGTTCCGCTCTGGATACGTCAAGGAGATCACGCGAGAGAACCCAAACACCGTCAACATCAGAACCGTGTACGACGACGAAATAGTGAATAGTGCGAACGACAAGAGCGTCGTCGGTGAAGAGAAGAAGACCTTGTCGAAGGTGAAGCCGAGCATAATCGCGAGTGGTGCGATTCTGGGCGTGACGATCGTCGTATTCCTGGCGATCTTTATCGTCTGCCGGATACGGCAGAAGCAGAAGTACATCTATCGGAACACGTTCTCGCGAGCGGTGTTCCAGGGCCCGGTGTTGGCCGCGAGGAAACTCTCGAATTCCAGCAGTCTCAGCACCGTGATGGTCAACGTCGTCGCCACGTCGACGACCAAAAGACCTGAGCGAATGGAAGCACAGGAAGCTGCGGATGAATTCGATGGCAAGAGCGACATAGACAACGACTCGTTGGACGCGAACGACAGCTGGGAGACGATACCGGATTACGCGAAGTGATACACGGCTCGATACGAGTTCACCTGACTTTAAATCGATCATTACGCGCCGCTAGGTACCGACAGAACAAGCTGCATTCTCGAGCTCCCACGTATAGGATAAGCTATATTTATTTATATACATACGTTTATATTGTAAGCGCTGTATTTTATATAAAAGTGTAAATCTTATATTCGAGATGGTTTCGTAACTGCCCATCCTCACGTGTGCCTATTTCTACCAACATCAACCTGAATCTGAATAATTAAACCTAAGTCTAAATTCTAGGGTCGTTTTCTCAATAATAGTTTGAACATAGATTTCAGTTTAAATTCTGCTATAACAATGTATTTGATGCGCGTCTGAACAACGTTTAAACTTGAATATAAGTTTAAACTACTATAGTTGCGTACTAGACGCTCTGGTTGGAGAGCGAGCGCCGGTTGCTAGATGTCAAAAGGGCGTCGGACACCGAGAAGTGACGCGGGGTGAGTATAGGTAAATCCGGCAGGGCTTTTCACCCTCGGCGATGGAGCGAGAGCAACTTGCCCGCTCGCGGTGCGAACGCGCGGATGTAGTAGTTGATCAAACCGGTGAACGACGGCTCTGAACGGAGCGGGATCCGTGAAACGTGAGGATGGGCGTAACGCCGCGAGCCGCTAGAGTCACGGATGCTTAAGCCTATCAAGATGGCTTCCGCCGGTTCCTCCGCTGAGCAGACGTAGATGTGAACGCGGCCGTATAGGAGCGACTGCTCACTCTGACGACTAAGTCTCCTGGTTGACTTAGTTTGGTATGCACGCGATACTAGGAGAACGACCCTGGTCGCTCTGGTACGCCCCAATGGCGATAGCGTGTGTCATGAGGACACGATACTATTAAGGCCGGTAAGTAATCGGCCGAAGGAAGATGCTTCCGTGGAAGACAAAACCGAAAGGAGAGAAAATACCGACCGCAAGATCCGATTCGTGGCACACACGGCGCACGATTAGAGCGCTCGACAATACTGCTCTTGTCGAGGGTGCGCGCGATATCTGTATTCCGGGAGATATCGCGAAGGGAAGCCTCCACCGTTTTGGAAACTCCGAGAAGATCCGTAATGGTCGCGCGAATCCTCTCAAACGCCGATCGTATAGAGAGAAGTCGTGGAGTAACCTGATTCTTCGCGCGAGGAATGCCAACGTGTCTCAGACACTCTAAAGGCAATAACCCAACATGCTTACGCACTCTAAAGGGCCGTGGAGAATATTATCCAAAAGAATACCTCGTTGAGAAAAGACCTGATGCGTACCGGCAATCAGAAGGCCAATGAGCACACTACTTCTATACCGCCCGTGCTACCAGAGCGGTCTGGCCGTGCCTGTGCCGCGGCCGCTCTAATATAGCGTCCGCAAGCAGAATTTACTCGCGGGTTCGCCTCGCGCAGTCAGGCGTGCCGCCTCGCGGTACGCGCCGCGAGTCACGGCGAGACCGGGTAGCGCGGTCGACGGCGAAAGAATCGCCCCTAGCGCGAGGCAACGCGGCTCTGGCGCCGAATCTCGGCGGCCGTCGATCCCACCGGCGTTGCTCGTCGGAACACTACGGTGGGCTACGCCCGATCCGCAACTATTAAGAAAAAAAAATCGGCCCTTAAGTTTCAAATTTAAATTCAAGCTTAAATTCTGTTCTAACAATGTATTTAATGTGTTTGAACAGAATTTAAACTTAAATCTAAGTTCAAACTACTATTAAAAGATCAGTTCTAAGTCTTTGTCTGAAGAGAATTTAAATTCAGGTTAAAGTTTAATCGACATTGGTGGGAACGGCACAGTGGAAATTAGACAATTCGCAATAACTCACCAGTATCTCTCATAGGTGAAGGCATCCCTGACTACTGCAGAAACGGCGTTATTATTGCTCTGGAACACTCTACTGAAGTAAGAGTACTGTCTCGCGATGTTCCGACATTGTTTCAACGCAGACTCTGCACAAACACAATAAATTTATTAGTACAAAAGCCGCGACTTCTTTCTTGCGTATGAAAATTCAGTGAAATGCTAGCAGATTGTGTTGAAATTAAATACCATTATTTTCAGACTCAAGTTAGCTATCAGCTTTCGCTCATGTACCTGCAAAATGATGCACGAACAAGCAAGTAGAAACTAGTAGGTAAACTTCGAGGTAAAAGAAAATGAAGCAAGCTTTGCGAGTGATCCTACCGCTTACCTAATGTGGGGCTGCCTTTAAGTTCGATCATGTCAGTAGCCTTCATGTATAAAACTGTAGCGTAACTGTTGGGAAGCATGTCCAAGTAAGGCTTCCATTTGGAGTTCTCTTTGTGCCTTTCTATGAGGAGCGCTATCGCCAGTGCCACTTGTGGCATATGCTGCACCAGCGGATCATTCTGTAGAATGGCCAATTCTGGAGCAGCAGTGTATGTGCTGAAGATGAGCGTCCTTGGTATCTCTAAGATCAGTTGGTTCTCGGCAAAGTCAGTCTCTGCCTTTAGTCCCAGCTCGTAACCTGGGAATTCTGCAATGCTCACACCGTCCACACGTGCCCCGTTCTCTTTGAGCCAGTTCATGAAGTGACCAATCCCCTGGGATCGCTCAGACGATTCCGTCTTCATCTCCTCTAGACGTTTAACCTTCAGGAGAACTTCCGATATATCCAAGTAATTGTTCCATAGTTGCGTCATATATGCTGGATTACTACTCACTGCAAATACAATAAGAGAAACAGTATAAATAATTCTCATCAGCAAAGAATAGATTGCATCACAGAATAGATGAGACGTGCTGCAGGATATCCCTGCTTAAAATGATGGATACAAAATGATAAGAATTAAGGATACATTATATGGAGTAACAAGATATATTGTATACATAAAGTAATAAAATATATTACGTTCAGTTTAAAATTTAATATTTCATATATCAATCATTGTTGACTCACATTTATTTAGATTGAAATTCTAAATCTTATGTAATGTTATTTTGTATTCATCAGTTTAATTAGGGATACCAAATCCTTGACACACATTTCCATTTTATTTCAAACAGTACTTCTGATTTTTAAGAGACTCAAAGATATCTAAAAGAAGTGGGGCATACCTAATATCTTTAAGACGTTAATCTTAAAGTTACCCCTTGTCCACAACCTTGCTTTAATTCTTAAACTGTAAGAAATTGACCAACCACAATTAATTATTTTAAAAATAATGAACTGTGGTCGGTCAATTTTTTACAGCTTAAGAATTAAAGCAAGGTTGTGGACAAGGGATTTGACGTTAATCTTAAAGTTAATCTTTAAAAGTTTATCTTATTTCAGTCTATTCCTGAAAAGAACTGAACTTCATCGTTTATTCCCCAGATAACAGAAACTTCTATAAAACGTCTTTGAGACATCTTAAAGAGAGATCTTAAAAAGACATTCTATTTTTTTCAGATGTCTTTTTTGAGCGTTTTTAAGATGTCTTTTAGAAATTTCTGCTACCTGAGCTGTTTCTCATCAACATCGCCACACAGTGCTTGTTCCCTACGTGTCACGCGACAAAGTCCGGCGAAGGAGGACTACGAGGTTTCTCGTACTGCGCCATAGAAGCACGCGGTGCAAAAAGAAGTCTTGCGGTACTCACGATGGAAGAGTTTCTCGCACAAGGCATTGAGCTCGTTCCTCTTGGCCGCGGATATGTGCCTCTGCTGCGTTGAACCGTGTTGTTTACCTTTGGACGATGCGTGAGCCTTCTTTCTGCCCATTTTTGTCTACTATCTCACGGCACTCACGTGGCTCGCCTTCGCATTCAGATGCATTATAATGCGTAACACGCGCCTACGATCGGCAAGAATAAACACACCGCTTTTCGTTGCAACCAAAATAGCACGTACAGGCCGGCCGTCGTCGAAACGCGGGGTACATAACCTCAAAAGCGCTCGCGAACCGTGGCGGCCTATGCCGTGTGTATGCGTACATCGCGGACTCGTTGGCTTTCCGCCGCCCGCACTTTATTGATTTTCAATTTCTGTCAGGGGTCACCTACTTTCGCGATTACGTCTAACTTTGCCACTGGATCATATTCGATGAGTTCCCTCTCCCCTTTTCCAAATCGCAGTTGATGACTGCCGACGAACTTGAAATTTCTGCGCTATAAATTTCAAATTTTTGAATACAAATTAACGCGTTTATCACGCGAAGAATTTGTAACGATCAGATACAATGTCTGGTTGGAAGGAATATAAGCAGTCATCAAAAGTTTATAATTATTACCCATTTTTACATGTAATACCAATCAATGAATATTCAACATTATTACTTGGTTATACATTGTAATAAACAACCAAGTAATAAGTTTATCATATATATTCTACACGATTACCACCAAAAATTTCGTTATGTGCTGCTCCACAACGAAAAACATTTGCAACTTTAATAACTGCATAAAAATGGTTCCATTGCACCAAGTGCACATGGAATTGATACACGAATGATAAAATCGACTATTTTTACACAGTTGATCTATGCGTATATAAACGGTTTTTCTATTTTTTCTTTTCTTACTACAAAAAAGTCAAATTACAATTTATAAAAGCTGGTTACTTTCTATGATCGAGTTAATACGAGACTATCAGGTTATTTATCATTTCCTTTTGACATACATATATATATATATATATATATATATATATATATATATATATATATAACATGTAACATGTATCTATTTTAAATCCCGTCTATTTTACTAGACGTTCGTGTAATTAATTATATGTATTAAAACATCAAGATTAATTTCTTTCTGTATTTCTTAGAGTTCGTTCTAAGAGATTGAGGACTGAAAATTTTACATTCTTCAAGAAATTTATCGGATCTGACGGTCTTAATATCTAACGTCGGTCTCATGTGGGAATCGATACATCACACATGTATGACGTTCTCGCGTACATTTCTTGCAATATTGAGTAATCTCAATTTTATTCATACTTCAGCTTACAGCCAAGAAATAGGGATTTGGTTTACAATTCGTACCTTAACTCATACATCCTTCTCACGCATACGTCCATGCCATCGTTCCTCTCTGTCTAATACTATCTAAGTTTTTGTAATAGTATAGGCAGCAGTTAAAAGACACAAATCTCATGTGCATGTATACATCACTTACTCTTGCTTAGCTTTCTGCTGCCTGCATTTCATTGAATTTTAATCTCTGTTACTTACCTTTGCAAATACGTCCAATTTCGCCGCTACATCACGTTCGAAACAAAATCCACAGATAATCTGATATTAATTATATAGCTTGAGACCTTTGTAAATTAACGAGTTTGTTAACTTTGTGTCAAGTATAATGCGTATAATGATAGTGGGCACAATATGTCTGACAGGCACATTTTATAGTTCTTTTTTTTTTCAAAAGGCGTCCACAAAGGCGTTTTCTTTTATATATATTATTTTTACCATATCATAGTTTCATTAATATTATATATTAGTACTATTTTTTTACATACTAGTTTTATTATAAAGAACAATGTACAAAATAATCTTTTCATAATAACAACATATAACACGTAAATGTTGTGCTGGTCAGATCGGTTGCGCCCAACGGAAGATTAAGCGACAAATTTGTGACAATGCGACAATAAGGCTTAATTGAATGCATAAGCATATACACGAGACAAATAATTCAATTAGTTTCCTAATCTAAAAAACGTTATCCGCACTCTTTTCCCATTATTTAGTCTCATAATATTTGTTAATATACAGGGTGCAGATAAATCGCTGTGTAGCTCGCGTTTGTGAACTTATATCGAGTTAAATAATAATATTTGTCTTTTCCCGATTTTTTTTCGAACGTTATATTAAGGATATTATCTGTAAAAAATAATTCTTAAATGTCATTAGCCTAATACATATAATTAGTTCTTAAAAAATAAAATATACTTAATTATAATGTACGCGCAAGCTTCTTACGTCACATAAAAATAACAATATTATCGTTGTATGTTAAAACGTATTTATTACACAAAATGCTAAGAAAAAAGATGTCAGGATGATAAAACACATGGGTGCGTATGCGTATGCATCCACCTGAAAAATGAACTTTAATGAATGTCGTTTACTAACATATTTCAAGACTCTTCTAGGTCTATTCTGCAACTTCTATCGACAGTGCTGTCATCGTTACGTTGTTATTGCGTAATTATAACATATGGTGAAAAAGTTGCACAACAACAATTTAACGGTAACGACACTATCATTACAGAATAAGTCCATCACTATGATTAATTTCAGAATATGCTATCAGAAGCAAGAAAATACACAGATTGACATAATATATGCTTAATACATAAAGTTATATTATTTTAGAACTTTTTATAAGAAATACATCATGCACACATTCTAGAAAAGTATAACTTCATGTGTTAAAGCTATTATGTTTTCATTGGAAAATATTTTTTAAGAATTTTTAGCATGTATTTTTTTCGCTTTTGATGTCATTGATTAAAATAATAGTGACGAACAAGAGATTTAATGTGTCTAATCTACATGTTTTTAAGGCGTCAATTCGGCGTACTTTTGACGCTTCTTCTCCTTACAGTATTAGTATAAAATATACTCTATTACTTTAATATTATACTAATTACGAAAGAAGATAATGCCAGGAACACGTAAGTGAAGAAACTTGTGCCTTGTTAAAAGAAATGTAGACAGTCATAATTGAAAACTTATAGTTATTACGCATTTTTGTACTTAATACATATCAATCAATGAATTATTGTAATAATTATTATTTGATTATGCATTGTGCAACCAAGTGTGATAAGTATATTACACATTCTACACAGTCCCAAAAATTTCGAAGTGTTCCTTTGCAACTAAAACTTAATCTTATCTTAAATATTATAGATACACATACAGTCACAATATCAGTATGTATATATCATAATTTTTGTACAGCTTAATTGCTAGCTAGAGCCGTACAGATTCTATATTTTCTACTACTCCAACAGAAGTTATACCGTCAAATATACTGTAAAATAAGTGATATTTTTCTTAGTTGTTGATACTGTCTTATGGATGTTTCTAACAAACAATATTCAATTCGTTTGGATGATTGAGATAGCAATCAGATAAACATATGCGATATAATATATATATATATGTATATATATATATATATATGTAAATAATGTGTATGTGGGTGGGTGCGTTTGTGTTGTACGAGCATCCAATCTTCAAATATATTTACATACTTAATATTTAATCTTATATATCTTAGATTGCTTACACCATAGGTACACAACACAACAACTCTAATAATGTACAAATGCATGTATGTCATTCTTTTATATTTTTCTTACCATGAGAATAAAATTGCTATTTATAAGAAGCACAATTTTCTTTGTTATTAAATTAATTGCCTCAGGAGAATATCAGATTATTATATTATGTTTTCAGATAAAACGTCATATACATATGGCCCCGTTTATTTATCACACAAATAATAAATGTATACAGTAATTGCTTCCGTCGTTGTGTGATGTGTACCCGTCCATTCAACCTTCAACAATTCATAATTTCATGTTATACATAAATATATAGCAATTGTTTTTTTTTCTAAACAAAAGAATCGCAAGTTGGAGTATATTACTTGTAAACATATAGAATATAATTAATCTTGCAAAAATTTTCATTTCTTGCAAAATTATTTTACATTTTTCTACTTTACCTGGTATCACTTTGCGCGCTTTTACTGCGTTGTCGTATCCGAAATGCTTTGTCGCCACGTGGCGTGAAAAGGAATCTTTAAAATTTTAACTCTTGTCTTCGGCAATGCAGTTAAAAGAAGTTTTTGCAATTGCGGCAACGGTAAGATGTCAACCTGCGGACTTGTCATATGCGGTTGTTGTTTATCATCACCTGCAAAATCAGTAACGATTTATTACATAAATATGATAACTTAAATATTTAGAAAAATAATTTATAAAGTTAATTATTGAGTTGAATATCATTCAAGACAGTAATAAATACATATCTATAATACATATCTATAATAAATAGATCACATAAATAACCTATCGTCTTTTCAACAATACGGTTTATATTTTCACATTATCTGCTTACATTCGTGGTAAAACTTCAATCTGTTTTTCGAATATACGTTTAAATGTTTAATGTATATACTTCTAGAAATGTTTGATGGAAACCGTTTTGATATAACATTTAATCGTTTAAACGGATTCTGCGATCCGTATATTTAATAATGACACGAATTACTATTTATACAATTAGGAGTAGAGGAGAAAAGCATATACACGCGGTGTCACGTTATTGCTAGTTGTCTTTCTTATCTTATACGATTGCCACGAAAGACTAGTGACTATTTAATTTATTTGTTTCTGTTTAAAAGCGTATAAACGTATAAATGGATAAATGAATTCAAACTTAGTAAACAAATACACGTTTTCAAAAGCACGTATAATCGCGATTATTTTGTTACACGTATCTGTAAACGTAAATGTTAAATATACGTTTAAACATTTTTTATTTAAATATATAATATAGGAAGCTTCAATTCGCGGTCTCAACTAATTGATATGATAGAAATAATATAAAAGCACTTATAAATACTTTATCATCTCAAGACCGATATTTAATACTGTATTTGTGCTTTTTATTTATATTTCTGAGCAAACGTCTGGTTAAAGTACATGGAAAGTGACAACAGACGACATACTATAAATATTTTTAACACAAGACATACCTCTTTGGTTTTCATTTTCATCTTCAGCGTCGTCAATTAACTTCAAGCAAGGAACTGGTTTCAGGACGGGAATTGAATCACCGGTCACCTGCTTGCTCATGAGATTGCATTGATCGACAAATAACTCCGTAACTCTAAGTAACTCCAGAGTGACACCCCAAACGAAGTGAGTCAAGTTGTTTGATAACTCTGTGACTCCTCCGAGAACCATGTTATTTGAAGTCGCCGATTGCGATATATAAGTAGGTATAATCAATAACCTTTTAATGTTTTTGCAATTGGCGAGACATTTGTCGAAGCCGTTCTTCACATCAAAATTCACAAGCTCCATCTGGTTTAGATTTTCCAATTTTGATACGCCTTCAAGTATATCGAACGTGCAACACGATCCTTGACCTTTTTCAAGTCTTAGGCGTTCTAATTTATTTAATTTTATCAGAACGGTGGTTCCAAATTTGTCAGGGAAATCGGAGCATTCGCCTAGCTCTAGCGTTTCCAAGTTTACCAACGCTTGTATAACGTCAATTTTCTTTTTCCCGAGTTCTTTGACCGATGTTAGACTCTATACAATCAATGAAAAAAGTTAGAAATATTAAATGTAGAAAATCCCGAGTAAAATAAAAAATAGATCACGATACGAATACCTCAATAAAAATAACATCCGAATAAGTCTCTTACCAGTTGCGTCAATTGCGTTAACTCTTGTAAAGGCGTAAGGTCTTGTTGTAATGACATGCCACTTATCGCTTTGAGTCTGAGCTCTTGACAACGTTTCAGATTGCCAACTGATTCCAAAGTAAGAGAATCGCACTTAATGGACATCGCACTTAGAACTTCCAATTGTGGACAACTTTTGATTACTTCTTCAACCACCATCACCGGACAACGGCATAATTCTAATTTCAACAGGCTAGTCGTTCGTGGTATAACAGACAAGAATTTTTTCCAAATGCCATCAGATTCTCCAGATACAAGCATTTTTCTAAGATCCAAGTGTTGCGTGCCCCGTCTTTGTAATGTATCGGCAAGCCCGTCCCAATCCGTCACCTGACTATTCTTCATACGTACAGTTTTCCATAAAGATGGATGGGCTGCAAGATCGCGCCACATTTTACAAACGCGCGCTGCGCGTAGTAATTCTTGAACCTTCAGATACTGGAAAATACGTAGTAGCGCATGATAGCCGGCGCAAACAGAACCCATGAAATTTTGCTGTTGTTCTATCTCTTGTTGGTTCTGCTTTCTCCTGCAAATATTTAAAGATTTTCATATTTTAGAAAGTTTTTCCGTTTTAACAATTATTACGCGCGTTTTTACGCAACATTCTTATCAATATCATGTCGTTTCTTAGAAGCAAAATTTAGTATCTAATTATAATTTATAAAATACAAAAGACAATTTATTTTTAGTGATATGACTATTAGAATCTTCTTGTTAATGTATCTATTTAATACTACTATTTACTATATACGTTGGAAATATAAGTTCTTAATTATTAACTAAACAAACTTTTTTTTTTAATTAAGAAAATGAGAGAGGTTTTAATGAGAGAAGAGGAAAGCAATTAAATGAATATGGAAATAGATATGGAATTAGAGGACGAGGACAGTGAAAATTTATGGGAAAACGCACTAACAGGTTTTTTTGTATCAGCTCGCACATGTCATTATATCTGCAAATATAAAAAGTAAAAATGAATTAGATTTTTCCACTGAAGCACTTATCAATTATGCAACTTGTATTTGTAGCATAAATGTAAATATACTATAAATATGATACGAATATATGTATTCTTTAATATCCAACAATATGATCGATATTTAAGAGAACCTGGAAATTTATAATTTACCTTGATACTACAATTACAAGATACTTGCAAGAATTAACAGGTGCACTTTACTTATCTTTCATATTCGTCGAGAATTTGGCCGCATTTCTAAGAAGCTAAGGCAGTGTGCTTCGAGATCATAAGATAAAATCAAATTCATTTTTTACAATTGATTTTTATATTTTCACATATAATAAGCATGAGTATATATTGCATTTACAAGTGCTTATATACAATTGCTTTTGCATGAAATCAATACGAGGATATCTTTTTGTTCACATCGAACATCTTTACTACTTTAATATTCTCACAAACCTTGTATAGATAACGTAAGAAAAAGAAAAAAGAGTATGATAACGTTTTACTTTTTCTTTGTCTCTTCCTATCTCTCTCTATCGTTCTTCAATCTTTATTAATCAAACGTCGAAGCGTGGATCACGGAACGAGTATTTGTGAACTTTGTAAATACAATATGTACAAAGCAACTGCCAAAACCTCAACAGAGTTGCCGTAACTCAAAAAATCGTTTGGATAAAATAAGGAAAAACTAAGAATGTGCCTATGTGTTTCCGGGAACATTACTTACATGCGACTCTTAATTGTTACTGTACTCGCGTGACTCGACAACGACTGTTGACAATCTGTGTCAATCGCTTCCGCGCTTGTCATTTCAAGAGCGTTCGGAGTGCTTGCTGTATGCACCGGTGTCGCAGATTCGTTCTCGGGCGATCTACAACTCGTATGCGCGGTCTCGCTCTCTGGCATGTGATCTATGTTGGCAGTAGAAGATTCATTATCTGAAGCATTCTCAATCGGTCTGTCTACGTCTTTGGCAGTGTCCTTATTCTCGAGCGTTTCGCTTATCTCGTCAACGTTGACGGCAGACGCGATATCTGCCAAATGATTATGTTCCTCCGGATCATCTTTTGCCGATTCGGTCTCTTTGTCAGGTGTAACTTTGGCTTTCTCGAATTCGACCGTAGGTCCGAGATCTGCGTCCGGATGTTTGGCCGGAGGTGCGCGCAATTTTGCGACGCCACTATCCACCGTGTTCGAAATGTCGATAAGCGAGCCGTCGTGAAGGGTCGGCGGCTTATCGCCGATCATGTCCGGCTTCACCGTTATAGCTGGCTGGACTGCCATCGCGTTATTTTTCGGCACCACTATGTATCTTTTGCCGCCCATCACGGCGATGTTTTGAGCCGGCTTCGGCACGGTGCCGTCATGACTCTGCAAGAAATCGTTCTCTGTCTGCGGGAACCAGCCGCTGTCCTTCTTATCTATGCTCGAGGGTAAGCTCGAGGGTGATGCGGGTGGTACTTTAGCGATTCTCGAAGGACTCCTCGTTTGCGCGTCCGTGCTGTCGGATTTTGGTATTCTTTGCAATTTCGGAGGGATTAAATTAGCCGGGTGCTTCGTTTTCGCATTCTGCGCTCCTAACATACTAATTGGGATCAACGGAGGTGGTGTCAAAGACGAATTGTTTGACGTGTGAGATTCTTTAGTGTCCTGCTGACAATTCTACAACATATATTGAATTTCACGTAAGTATTATAATTTTCACAAATTGCAAATATCTGTCTATAGTAGCTACTTGTAATCTCTCACGTTTTTAACGCGTTAATTGAATCCTGAATATTTATATAACTCTTTGGCATTTAAGCGTAAAATGGGTTAACGAGAGTCAAGATCAAGAGCTAAGGATGTTACTTTGTAATTTAAATTTGCGAAAAAATAATAATTTATGGCGAGTGTACATGGCATGTTCCGGGAATCTCTTGGACTAAAACGCAGGTTCGAGTCCTTTAATACGCAAAAATATTGAAAGAGGGATTAAGCCGAAGAAAGGAGGCAATTTAGACTAAGAACTTTCGAGCATGTGTCGCATAATTCATGCATAAATTATCCTATTTAAATTACGAACTAATATCCGTGATCTTGACTATCTCCTGCATTATACATTGAGTTTTTTTATATTCTATGAAAACAAATATTTAGAACATTTCACGATAACGTACAGTATTGTGTACCTAATAACTCTGTTCGTTGGTAGATTTTTAATAAGGTACGGCAGTTTTTGAATATTTGATACGCTTAAGAGCTCGTTCTCGGAGTCCCTCGAATTGCATATACTATGTAGCACACCTACCTTGCAGACATATTCATCACTGCCTGCAAAATCCACGCCCTCAACACATTCAGGATGATATAAACAGAGACAGACGCGACACTGTAAGCTCGGTATCAATCCCATACTTGTCGAACATCTTATGCTGCATGGCTCTTGTACTTTGGGCCTGTAAGATGTGCGTTTCGATAGGGGAAAGGGATTCAGGGAAAAAAGTTTTCATTAAGGATATACGAAATAGGATTAAGGGGACAAATTATGTAACTTACAGATGGAATAAATTCCCTTCTTAAAGTAATATTATGCCGCATGCAGTCTAAAGTTAAACGTATTCATATATGACTGCGATGAAATTCATGAATATGTGTGAATCTTGCGCTTTAAACAAAACAATGAAAAGTTTTGTGCATCTTGATTTAGTTATCCGTAATTATATAAAAATTCTCTCTTTTTGTAAAATATTCAATAGGGTTATATATCTTCTACCAATAAGCATTAAGACGTTTCAAACATCTAATTTTTCTTACTTTTTTTATAAATATTTTGTAAGCTTTGTCTTTTCTCACTTACGTTTATTTTATCTTTCTGATGATTCTGACACTTGAGATAATATTAATAGGTCAAACATAACGTTTTGTAGTAAAAACAGATCTGAGAAAGATCAAATAGTCAAAATACTTACGTTAGTACTCTTTTGGTTTTAACGGTAGTGGTTTTCTCCACAGCTGCTTGCTGATTTCGTCTTGTGCTTGGTGTACCACGCTGCGGTGGCAACATATCGGTTTCCTCAACTGGTGGTTTTGTTTCTGGTGGCTTCATTTCTGCAAATATAAATTAGTCAGTAAGAATAGCTAAAAATTAAGATAATTAAAAACTAATATAAATATTTAGGCTGTTATTGTTACATTTATATTTTATTAAAAATCTATGAACTTATCTCAATATAGTTAGTTTTATTTCAAATTTTTTACTTCAATAAATTTTATTAATATTCATAAAAAGAGCAATTTTGAAATAATATCCAATGATATTAGTTATATATGTGTATAATATTATTGTGTTAATTAAGGATTTAGTATAAAAGAAATGAATGCAGAATCCTGATATGGAATAGACAATAGCAATATAAAATATAGTATAAAATACTCAATTTAATTATTTAATAGAATAAAACTTATGGGTACAAGTACCTATCTGGACGTACTTATCTGAGGCGTTTTCTTTATTGCTGCTTTTGTTTTATATCCCGGAGATGTTGCGGGTTTTGTCGATTTAGCGGCAGCTTTTGTAAACACTGGCGCAGGTGCAGGTGTAGGAGCAGGTGCCGGAGTCGGTGTAGGTGCAGTCACAGGAGCAGGAGCAGGAGCAGAAGTTGGAGGTTCCTGTACCGGTGGTTTTCTCATGTATGCTGTCTTTTTCTTTCCGAAGGGTTTCCTTCCTGGACCTCCCACGGATCCCTGCAATATCCAGTGTAAATATCGAGTTTTCTTATAACAAACAAATTAAATTAATATATATCTATTAATATATATTAATATATATTAATATCTATTAATATATATTAATATATATCAAATTAAATTAATATTTATATCTAAAACTTTTTAATATAATGTGATGTAACTTTAAAATTATATACCCAGATACATAGGTATCATAGATACATATAAATATGTATTTACATATATAGATACATATTTATATATAGATACATATATACAGGGTGCGGCAAAAGTATCGGACCGGTAAAATATCTTGAAAAATATAAGTTTTACAGAAAATTGCTTTAGATAAAAGCTATAAGTCTTAGGAAAATCTATTTACTGATTTTAACAGTTTGACCTTGGGTGACATTTCGAGGTCAGTTCGAGGTCAACATTGCTTTTTTAAATAGAAACATATACTTTTTACTACGGAATTTTATTCTACGTAAAGAAACAAACAAGTTTTGTTTGAAAATATTTTTTATACGACCTCTATTTTCTAAGATATTTCCGCAAATATTTTAGAAAATAGAGGTCGTATAAAAAATATTTTCAAACAAAAATTATGTGTTTCTTCACGTAGAATAAAATTCCGTAATAAAAAATATATATTTCTATTTAAAAAAGCAATGTTGACGTCGACCTGACCTCGAAATGTCACCCAAGGTCAAACTGTTAAAATCAGTAAATAGATTTTCCTAAGACTTATAGCTTTTATCTAAAGCAATTTTCTGTAAAACTTATATTTTTCAAGATATTTTACCGGTCCGATACTTTTGCCGCACTTTTTGTATATATGTCTACATATATAGATACATATAAATATGTATCATATAAATATGTACCTATATTCTGTAATTTCGTTTGTAGACTATTGTATAGTTGTGATTTTTGTGACTGTTATATAGTTTGTTTTTTATCTCTGAGTACATATAATTTAAAGATAATAAAATACTTGTAAATTAAAATTTAACTATTAATTTATATTTTATTGTCACTATCCGCACTATTTTCCTGCTATGTTACTTCTCTTTCCAAAAGCAAATAAGATTTGATTATTGAGTGTTAAATTATATATATACCACAATATTTTGTGAGAGTACAATACGAATATAAACAGTCAAGGACATACCCGCCATTTCTTTGCATCTCGAATGATTTCCTTGTTTGGATCATCAAGCCCAATTGGTTCTTTGCAAAATGTGAAGTTTTCAATCACCAATTCCTTAGAATGAACTGCAAGAAGTACAAGAAAATGCATGGTATTTTAACTTATATAATATTTTAATTTATATAATGGTATTTTAACATATAAAATTGCGCGATTGCGTGTATTTCTAATTAGACAATGTATACTTACGACATTCTGCAACCTCCCTGAAACTTCGAACTTTCTTTCCCTTTGGTGTATAATAATATATATCCGCCATCCTCTTAAGGGCAGAATCGTTGCTTGCCCTAAATACTAACTCACGTTTCCAACCGTATTTAAACGGTTCTTTGTACAGTGGGTTTGACATATCGACGGCGGCTTTTTGCTTAACGATATTTGGACTATTACCGCTTGAAATACGACCACGGCCACCTCTCATTTTTGGAGATACTGCAGCTGGACTACTCGTGACAGACGAGTTCGTCGATTTAATGGAGGCTAATTCTGTTTTGGTCGGTTCTATTTCGGAATCTATGCTATTTGCTACATCGACAGAATCAGTTTCAGATTTATCAGATTCCTTTTCCTTTTTGATCTTGCCTAAATTCAGGTGACGATCTGCATCGTAAGTATCTCTGTCCTTAGCTCTGTTTAATGTCTTGCCCAAGTTGTCTGTTGCATAAATAAAGGCTTTCATATCATCCAGATCATGATCATCCTCTTTCTTTTCTATGTTTTCAAATTTCCTCTTTGAAAATCTTGTACGTTTTGGAAGCTGGGCTTCTGCTATTTCTGCTTCAGCTGTAATAAATCATATCAATAAGTTTATGAATTTTCAATACTCTTGGCAATGAAATAAAAGTATTATATGTAGATAATTATATAAAATAATTAATAACTATAAATTAATAATCTCATAGGAGTAATAATATATAATAATTTCTTTTAACTAAGTTACTCTACTTATTATATATGAACATACGCTATATACCATGAGGTTTGTATACACTTTATACTTTCTATTTTTCATTTAGGTAATTTAATATTTTTGCTATAAAATATTATAAGATACTTTAAAACCAATGAAATATTATCATAAAATTTCATATTATTATTAACTTGTTTAAATGCACACTATGTATAATGTAACAATGATTATATATAAATAATTAGCGTGGTTCATATATAACTACATGATGAACAAAATATAAAAGACAAATGAATGAATACAATGTTTTTAAGATTGCATTATCCTTTCCTGAAATATTCTCTTTTATAGCTTAATTATGATTATTTATAAAATTTAATGATCATCATAAGTAAAAGACAAAATAAGTTACAGAATAATATATCAAACAAAAATTTTATAAATTCTTATGTGGTGTACTGTGCAGAAATTTTTTAAAGTTACCAACTTATTCTCATAATTATACAATATAAAACTTTTATTTGCATTCATAAATGTATGTATAATGTTTCAGTATTACAAGTAAACCAAATAATTGCAGCAGATTGTAGGATAAAAAATGATAATTGATATATATTAACACATTCTAAGCTGTATAGTTTGTCTGGGCCCTAAACTGGATTCATTATAAAATAATCAATTTATACACAAACATCATGCATAATATATTTATAATAATATGAAAGATATGAAATTTACATGATATAAGTAGAAAATCATGAAAATGCAAAGACTGATTTTAGCATGTGCTAGACTAGGTTATGTAGTTCATCATCTTCCCTATAATGGATTTATTATAAACTTTCTTATAATGTTATTAAACCTAACACTTAAACATCATATAACAATATGGATATTTCACAAACTATATAGTGAGAAAAATTTAAAAAAACTAGAGTTTTTTGGTTAGAAACATTCTAACAAAAAAAACAGCAGTACCATAAATTGCATAGTAGCTACCAGAGTGAATAACAAACGATAATAAAGAATATTACCAATTAGTTTCTTCAGAATACTACTGCCTCGCATCTCACTGAGAACCTGAAGGTCAAATCCACTAAATCCCAGTGAATCGTCGGAGCTGGCTTCATCCAAATCTGTGAATTTACGTTTATTCAATCTTGTTTCAGTCATTTCTGCGTCGCTTTCGAAGGTGCTGGCAGAATTGGCCTTGAACTTGAGTTGCTTTTTGCGCGAGGACGGCGTGGTGGGACGCTTCTTGAAGGAGCTCTTGAAGTCGCCGTTTACTTCCTGCGCGTCGGCGCTACCGGCCTCGGTCGGTGATTCCTTGCCGGCCGAATGCTGCGTCTCGATTGGCGTCACCGGTGTGTCGCCAGGTAGGACAACGCTGTCGCCGCTGCTACCACCGATGCTTTCGTTGAGGTTAGAATCCTCTCGGGAAACTTCAGCGTTCCCGCCATTCACGTTCGTGCCGTCCATCACAGAGCCTGGTCAGAGCGAGCTAGCTCTTGGCTATGTTCCGCGAACGCGGGCGGCCCGATCTCCGCGCGGAACAACGTAGTCGATGTCGTCGTCTTCGTCGCTTATCGTCAATTAAAAACTTTAACGCTAGTTCCGTCAAGCGAGCACCGACTAGCTACACCGCCGTCGATTTTCTCTCTCTCTTTTGCTCGTTTGCACTTTATCTCTCACATTCACACTACACAGTTTTCTCGCTCCTTCTACAATCCCCTCTAGTGTCTTTCTGTCGCGATCCCGCGCTCATCTGACCGCGAATGCGCACTGAGTGTGCGCAGACGTCACTACGTGCTATTTACACAAGCGCGTTCTTCGTCGGAATTGTCATAAGACACGTCCTCAAAAAGTTGACCATTTTGTTGTTGCTTGGCTACATATTGTTATATATTGAATCAATTTCCTACTCGCAGATCGCACAGCACACACCTATGACACGAAACCCGAAGGAAAGATCACGACTTTAGTTGACGAGTCACCACAAAGCGTCTTCGTGCAATGGAGTAACGGAAATGGCCGTCCAAATATGCTTATGCCTCATTCTAAACGCTACTGCAGATTAAGCAGCAGACTCGACCTGTGGTTGGCCATAGATTAAATGTTATAGAAGATCGACGACTCTGTCGATAGTGGCACTGATTGAGGGCAAGATCCACTTGACGTTGCAAACTCTTCAAAACGCCAATTACAATCTCTCTTTATAAATTCCAAAGCGTTTGCAACTTGAAACGGATCGTTTCCTGAGTACTATTGAAATCGGCAATTTCACAGCAGTTGACGCGTCGAGCGAGATGCTTTGAAAATTCTCCAAGAGATAGTATTTGTAGAGAAAAATTAGGTTGTGTAGTAATGAGGTGTTTTTTGAAGAGATTTTCGATAATTATGATCTGAAAAAACTTTAAACATTATAGCGAATGTTCTATTATAATAACATTGCTATTGCGATAATTCTTGTGTCTCCAATTATCTATAATCAATAACAGAAATATAAACAGGTTAGTATGATTCCTAACTGTGATAGAAACTAGATGCTCTTTTCAATAAAAGCTAATATTTTTCCAGAATTTTTCATTATATTTATCGTATAATAGTTATTTTTGTGTTGTTAGACTAACCTTAGTAACCACACATATATAATCTGTGTGAAAATAATGAACTTATATTACACCGAATATCTCTGAGAAACAGTACAACCAAGTCTCATTGTGAGTTTTACAACTGCCAAGGAGATTATCTTAAAACAAGAAGAAGCTATACATAATACTGAAAAAACTTGAATATATTGAGTTGTAAGATGGAAGTGAATAAAGAATTGAATGTGTCAGCAAGCATAAAAGAGAAATATCTCAAGGTTCGCAAAATGTTAGATGAACAAACAGCAAGTAAATCATGTGAATTTTGTGAACCCATAAAGATTTTAAAGGAAATAATAGAAGAGTTCAATGCTATAGTGGCCAGTTCAACAGAACCAAAGAATGAGATTATGATATTGGCACAAACTCACTTAAATTTGGGCATAATATACTTAGAGTCTGGGGAGACAAAAGCTGCTGAGGAACAATTTATAATGTGTACTGACTTACTAAAAGACATAGAACTAGAGCCTGGAAGTATTTTACCAATGATAACGGCTCTTAATCAACTAGGGATACTTTATGCACAATTGGGTGAACCAGCAAAAGCCAGAATATCTTTGAAAAAGGCTGAAGAGCTGTATACTGAGTTCACAGAAAATGTTCGACTCGCTCCGATCAATGTAGGACTCGCGATAGGCATGGAGATAGGAGGACTGAATGCTGAGAGCCTCTTGGAGAAACTTCATACATTGACTCTATATTACCTCGCGCAGGTATATAATGCATTGGATGACAAGGATAAGTTTGCAGCGTATTGCCACAAGACTCTAAGCATGCAGCTGAACCAGGAGGACGTGGACTATATTGACTGGGCTCTGAATGCTGCAACGTTATCCCAGTACTTCATAGGGCACGATAATTTTCCCCAAGCGAGATATCACTTGGCTGCAGCGTCCCATATATTGCAAAAGCATCAGGATGCGTTAGAAGCGAAGGGTCCGGAGGAGACTAGCGAGAGCATCGCCGCGGAATACGAGACCTACCATCATAGGTCCGCGGACGTTGCTAGGTGCTGGGCAAAATACGGTATCACTCTACTAAGCGCGTCCAAAGAGCGGCTGCTAAAGAAAGTTGAGCAGGAAGACGAGCCCTTGTCGAGCGACTTGAGCTCCACGGCAACGGAGTCCATGAGATCCACAATGGAGCTCATGAGATTCGTAGATATCGAGCCGGAATTGGAGGTTATTGCCTGCCAAGTGACGGACCAGTATTTGCTCGATTTCGAGGACGCCCGGCCGGTGTTCTTGAACGTACAGAAGTGGCTGGACGAAGCGAAGACGTACTACACATTGGACAGTCACGCGTCGGACTATGCGCGCATCATACAGGACGTCTCACAGGTATACAGGTACTTGTCGTTCTACGAGCTGCACGAGGACAGGCAGGCGAAGATGCATAAGCGGCGGATCGACGTTCTCGAGACTGTCATCGGGGAACTGAATCCGCAGTATTATCGCGCTATCTGCCGAGAGATCTGGACTGAGCTGGGCGAGACATACTCGGAGATTCTGAACATCAAGATCGACCGTTTGCAAGCATCTAACGAGAAGCCGACCATCCATATGATAACGAAAATCAATCATCTGACGAAGAGCAGTATCAATCATTTCCGCTCGTATTTGGACTCACTCGAAACTGGCAAGTCCGATGATGGTGTACCGAGGTATTCGGACGACCTTCTATATCAGGCTTTGTATACCCATTTCCACATAGCTAGACTCTACAACAAGATCATCACTTCCGACTTGCAGCTGAGGATGGAGAACACGCAGAAGAGCCTTGAAGCTTATCAGTCCGTCGTGAATTACTGCGACAAGCATCCCGAGAAGACTGAGGAGCTAGAGAAACACGAGTTCGTCAATCTGAGCAGAGAATTCATCAGTCTACTGCCGCTCACGTTACACAGATTGAAACAACAAATAATAGATCAATAATTAGATTTCCCTGTTTTCCCTGTTTTTACGACTGTATATTTGCTTAAAAAATGTAAAGAGCTGTTTCATTAAGCTTCCTTTTGGGAATGTAAAAATATATTTCGCTAAGTTTCTTTTTAAAGTAAGAAGAAAACGACCGGCGGGACTTGTGTTGATGATATATATGTGTCTCGTTAGGACCTTGAATGCACGTTTTTATCGATATTGTTCGATCAATACATTCGTTATGTGTACTGAAGAAATGTAATACAAATGAGAGATAATTATGTTTGTAATACAATATAGTTATATGATTAAAAATAAACCGGGACGAATACGATACTCGAGTGTATTTTTAATAGATAAGACTATTTACTAATATGTTGATAAAGTAATTGCCAAATTGCATAATATGGAGTTGTCTGAGAAGTCGTATGTTTTTTTTTTTTTTTTAGTTAAGATGAAACCCAATTTTGGAAAAGATACTAAATAAAAACCTTTATTCAATGAAATATCCACAATTTTTTGCATTACTTTAATTCATCTCTCTCTTAGTCAAATTTAAAATTCTATCCTTGAACTAATTTCTGTCTAATCCTGTCTAATTTCGTCTTATATTTTTGCTTTTTAGAGATGGTCCTATTTTTTAATTTAATTATGTTAGTGAATAAAGACAAATGTTTACCCAATTCGTTATTCAGTCATGTTGCTGAATAATAAACGAAATAAAATTTAATCAGTCAGAAATTATTTGAAAATAAAAGTCTGTCTGACTTGTCACTGAGTTATACTACGATCTCAATTTTTTTGTTAAGATCAATTTACACCAGCGGTAACATTACTATTAACTTTGTTATTTTGGAATAAAAAATGTTAATAACATTTTCAATATTTTGTAGAAAAATATTGATAAAAATTACTTGTTTTGGTGACACGCTGATAATTTTTACCTCCAATATACATGAACCTAAATTGTCGAGAACATTATATCTGCAACTCATCGCTTGGCGGTCTAAATAAAAAGATATTGGAAACAAATATTATTAGTCGACTAGTCGCTATTAGTCGCTTAGTGCGCACTAGGCTTGTTCATAGTATGTTATTATATTTAAAAATTGTCTTAAATAATTCTCAAATAAATTCTCAAATATTTTTAACCATAATATGATATGTATAACATCCGTACGAATCATTTTATTAGTTAAAATGTTTTTAAATATGTATTTAAGACACGATCTTAAATATAAGAATGTACTGTAAACAAGCCTTAATGCGCACTAGTGCAAGCTACCGAATTCGCTATAAGAAAACGTATATTTGTCTCACTTCAATATACGCACCAGTTCAACAATGCAGCTACAAAGAACAGGCCTAAAGTTTGCCGCGCATAGATGTCAGCATATGTTTCGGCTTTCGTAATTCGCGAGAAGACCCGTCGTCGTTAGTACTTCTTGTTCCTCTTATTGCGGGTGAAAATGGCGTCCTTGGTGGCAAGTGGTGTTCGTCTTTTAGCTAGAAGAAACGCCGGTCTCAGGAACTCGCTCGATCGGTTGCGTTCTGCTCGTGTCACACTTGCCACACTACCAGGATGCGAGCAGCGGATGCTGCATTGTGCCACGCAAATCGCTCTTGTGAACGCGTCGCAGGTAAACTGACGTCGTCGTCATCTTCTTCTCGAATCTTCGCCGCATGAACGACCACCGTGTGTTTTGCAAAACGTGTATTATGTAACTGATGAAACGATTCAAGTCCGCGCTCACTGAGACGCAGAATCCCCACAACGAGCATCCCAGCACTTTCTTTGATCGACGACCTCGATGTTTGTTCTGAATTCGATACTTCGATCTTCGCTACGCTCGCGGTGAATTAGTGGCTTTGTGCCTTTTGATTGCGCTCTCTGATAATTTCCGCGTTTATGTGATGAAATACAAAACACAGTCTAAATTACTTAGCTTATTGTTCCTCGTGCGACCTGAAATAGAATTCGTTTTAGTTTTATATTCGTTGCAATTTCACATGTTAATTTCAGTTATAAGTAAAGTATCAAATGTTATAAGTATTGTAAGAATTAAAATATAAAAATCTTGTATGATATAAGAAAAACATTCAATCGATGTGTATATTGTTACATCGATGTGTATGTGTACACAAGCAAGAATAACTAAATTGTGACAAATGTAATATTTATTGCTATTTCATATAGTTAGACCTCACAAATCTGATTAATAATGTTCTCTGAGTGATCAGAGCGATCAAAGAATGAGCATCAAGATGCAAACATTAACATATAGGAATTGTTTGTTAAATGCAGGTAAAATATAATCGTGGATATTGCACTAGAACAAAACCAGAGTCTGTTAAGGCCATTCAAGAACGTGTATTGAAAGTTGTGGGTGCTTATAATGAAGTCACTGCGGAAAAGGTTACATAGAAATATACAAATATATATCTTTTTCTTGTCGGAAACATTTTACAGGGCTTAACGGACACACGCATCAAGCAGGTGCGCCACTACAGTCATAAGGCTCCGCTAACCATTGACCTTATCAGTCAGCGAGTACTCTTGGTTTTAAAACTTTATGATAAAGTTGATATTCAAAAGGTATCTATCAGACATCAATAATTGAAACTATTTGAACTAAGACGTTTCTGTAAATGACTTGTACAGGAAAAATTTAAGAATACAAAATGAATTTGATATCAGGAATAATGATTCTTCAACTAGCCAACATTATATTTTGCATTTACTGAAACGTCTTGATAGTTTTTAAAGGAAAAAAATGGTTAACACCTTGCTTGATCGTGACGTCTGCATATGTACTGACATGCAAATATGTATAACCTCTTTTTAATTAGTAAATATTTATTTTGCATGATAATCTCTCTATTGCTGCCTAGTTCTATTAGAAATATGTACATGATGTAAGGATATTTATATTCTCCTTACAGACAATATCTACTTAAAATTTTATATACATTCTTTTATTATTTAGTAGAAAATATTTGGTTTAATTTATTCCACTGGTTCTAAAAACATGTCAGTTGTGCAGGAAGCCCATACATGTCTGTACTGAATCCTAATCTAACGACGTATTGAATGTTTCTTAGCTGACTTTGGAGTCACATTTTATGAATGACTTGGGTCTCGATTCTCTGGACCATGTGGAGATTATCATGGCAATAGAAGACGAGTTTGGTTTCGAGATCCCAGACATGGACGCGGAGAGATTATTAAGACCTGCGGACATAGTACGTTATGTAGCTGACAAGGAAGATATATACGATTAACGTACTTTATATTTATATGTACACGTTTAGTCAACATCTGCCGTTGCTCCATCAGGGAGTAATGAATCACAGCATCTTATTTTGCTGTCATTGTTTTTTCTGTATATAGATCAATCATCATTATATGAATAAAGTAAGTGAATTGTTAGATTGAATTTCTATTATACATAAGTACCCTGAAGAATTGTAACACAAAAAAGAATTTTGCACATAAAATATGTATTATATATTCTCTTTACATTTTTTGCAACAATATTATACAAATTCACTTAAAAAGGCACAAAGATTTGCGTTATTGGAATTGCGGCAGCCACGTCTGTGATTATAATTAAATTTGTTTATAAAAGACAATAATTTCTTATTATTTTATCACTCGCATTCAAATCTAAAATTTTACTATTTAATTACACGCAACAATTTATTTTAATATAACTTCGAATTGTATTCCTAATATAATCGAGAAAAGAATTAAAGCCAGCGGCACACGGTGTTTATTTCGTGCTGGATTGCTTATTAGGTAAAAATACTCTGATTCTGATTGTTACATTTCTGAAAATGGATGGAAATGCACCAATCAAAACAAAGTATTTTAATCCAGCATCAAAAACAAGCACCGTGTGCCGCTGACTTTATTGTACTATTTTTAATTTATAATTTCGTTTTAAGGGGATGCCGGACATGAAAAAAAACATTGACTTTTTTCTGCAAAATTTACATCTAGTTGCTTGCACGGAATTACAAGCGCTTTTACACAACAAAAGTACACGCAAAAATAAATTGAAGCATTGCCCAATATGTGACAAAAACGAAAAAAATTTATATAAATTTAAATTTTGAGCTGTCAGTTAGTGCAACATTTGCTTAATACAAACATTCTGCAGGTTGTACATACTGAAACTGTGAATGCTCCAATCAGGAAAAGTCCAAAGATCACTACTACACTTTCAAAATTTAGTTTTGATGCCAAAAGATACGAAAAGTTTGCAGAAAAGTTTATGAGAACATGCGGTTAGGTATTCCGACAATTATGATAAAGTAGAGCAAAAAATTAGTTCACGGATATTTTTTGAGATGGCACCATAATCTTATCGTACATTTCACAACGTCGGAATATTCAGGTTATATATATATATATATATATATATATATAATCTATAATATATAAAATATAACGTGCGTGTTATATAATAGTTATATTGTCGAGTAGGAAATTATGTTATGTTACTGTTACTTTGTTTACTGGGATATTGATGGATGCTCCGCTTCATTTTCGCATGTATTTTCACCATGCAAAAGGATTTTTAATTCTACGTAGGTAGAAAGAAGTAAACTTTGCAGAAAGATTCGATTTCGTGGTAGTAATAGTGCATTATCGTTTTCGTCTCATATTTTTGGATGTGTCGCTTCATTTTCGCACGTAATTTCGCAATGCAAAATGGTTTTTACTTTGGTCCAATTAGTATGAAACAATAGTTTCGCAAAAGTATTCGGTATCACGTTAACAACATTTGCCAAAAAATTTTAATTTGTGTTGACTTGACCAAATTAAAAATTTTTTTGTATAGCAAAGATACATGCATAAATGAAATAAGGCATTCCTTTTTCAAGGATGAAAACGATGTGGAACTACTGCTATCGTGACACTGATTTCATTTTTCAATAATTATAGTTTACTAACTGCTCCAATTTGTATAGTAAAATTATATGCGAAAATAAAGTGTAACATTGGTCAGTGCGAAATAAAAAAATATCTCAAATTACCGTTGCTAATTATATTTAAATCTCAAATAATAGGTAACGTATTCTTCAAAATATTATTAGCAAATTACAACACTCTTTTCTAAAAACTTTTTCTTTGATGCACCCAATACACAAGCGGTTTGAAGAATTCATCAGAAATGTAGTAAAAGCTTGTTTTGGAGAGAATGTGAATATCGGCAACGTGGCATTCACATTTATATAACGTCTATGTGTAAGAAAATTGAAATGACAATATAGCACACACACTTGTATAACATCTGTGAAAGGATGATAGCGGTATTATGTTAGTGCCTATTTGACGATCGTCTTTATTCTATAAATATATATGTGTAAATTCGATATCGTCGATAAATGAAGATAACGTTTTCTACTTTTTGACGATCGCTCTACGTTATCGACGCTTATCAAGTTCGTCGCTCGCTCCGGCATCCTCTTAAAGCTTAAATTTCGATTAGAGCTTAAATCTTCATTGTAAACCTCGCTTTACATGCATTTCTCGATGGTAATGATACCGTCGAAAAATGCGCCTAATGGAGGTAGTTTAGACGCATTGTCAGAGGGCGTATCAAAATATGTTCCTCTGAAATCGTTATGGAATAGCCGCTCTTAGGCTTTTCTCTAGCATAACTAATAGCCAACTTTAGGACATAAAAAGAGGGAAAGAGACTAAGATAATCCAATCTCCTTGTGAACATAAATTTAAATTTAAAATAACTTCATGTATGTATTAAAACAGATATATATCATAGAAAACTCTTAACGTTTATTTCTATAATCATATATTAAAAAAAAAATCAAATTAAAATAAAAATTGTGATATAGCAATTGAAATAACTTCATTAAGGTAACGTTATTTAAAAGATTAATAACATTATCAAATATTGTTAGTTAAGAATAACAAATTCCTCATGTACACTAACACATGATAAGTATGATCTTGGCCATTAATTTTTTATACACAAAGAATATATTCAGTTGCTTGTTATCTGTGTGGGATGAATAGAAACTATGAGTGCAGATAAACATGAAGACATTTTGGAAGGAATATTTGACAGACAATATAAGAAATTGCATGAACTCAATGTGGCCACATTATTGATAAAAGGTATGTTCATGTCTTTAACTGCTAGTTTTAATAATAATACTGATATATAAATTTAAAATCATTTTATTTCATACAGCTAAACAAAGTGTAAAAGATGAACTTCAGCAAATGCACAATGAAGTACAGAAAATCTCATATGATATTCAAGGTATGAGAAAGGATCTAGAAAAAATAAAGAAGCAAAATGTTCATCTTAGGGTAAGTTTGTTAAAAGATTTCTTTTAGTTTTTACTATTAGTAAAAAAGTTAAAGGACAAATAAAAATTTCTTATACACAGGAATTAACATCGCTAATTGATGCATTAGATAAAAATATTAAACACCAAAAAGAAAATGTCCCGCCAGAGTTGATACAAGGTTACTTAAATGTAGAAAAGCAAACATGTTCTCAAACCAGTGTTACTCCTGGTATGTTGAATTGCACTATAAATTCAACTCATAAAATGACAGGAAAAAATACACCTAAGATTGCGTGTATTATGGAAAAGCAAGAAATGATAAAAGATTGTAAGAGGACTCTTTTTAATGAGCCAGAAATATGCCCAATGATATTTCCTATCACTACAGAAGAATTTAGCAAAGTACCTAAGTACATAATTGGAAGACAATCCTTAGAGACAATTAATAATTTGATAAATGCCATAAATCAAACCTTAATAGCAAAATATACGATCTTATCAATGGGGAAGGCTACTGCTCAGAAAAAGGGTGAAATTAATCTATATTTACACTACAAAAAACAAGAGTTCGATGTTCATAATGAAAATGGTTAGTTTTTATATCTTCTGAATTCTTTTTTTAAATATTTGTTCTATATTTACACAACAAGAAAGAGAGTGAAATTACATTTTTTGTGCAAGTATATTAAATATTATATAAGTTCTACTGTAATATAATATACACATATATAATTCCTGTTCCAGGATACCTCTATTTCTTCACAGCTGAAGATTATTACAAGCAAACAAAAACTAAACTCGACAAAACTAAATTAAATTTGATAACTGCATTGCGCCATTGCAAACTTTTACGCGAATGCAGGATAAAAAATGAATTGCGTTATGTTATAATACCACATTAATTAACATGACCTATATCGTATATATAGATCTTGTAACATATTGTTTATGTAATTAATTGAAAAATTATATATTAAATTAATGTTTATGGAAAAATTATAATTTACTAATACTCTTTGGTATTACTATCGAAATTATATATACACTCACATACACAGTTATATTTTATTATACGCATTTATAATATACAATTTGTTCATACAAATATATCAATATATATAATACTACATATTACAAATATATAATAAAGAAGAGGGACCATACAAATATATATATATATAAAATAGTATAGAAAGATATAGTATTGGTTGTTTTGAAGTTTTCATTGTTCAGATATAATTGTGATTATTCGGTGAAATTGTCTAATAAATTAATTATATAGATAATATAAATCTACTTTTATGTATAATACAAATATATATTTATATAACCTCTACACCTGTTCTCATTTTCTCATCAATGTTAGAAACAAATTACATACAGAAAAGAGATATTCAATTATTTTTAGTTACCTAGCCAATCTGTTTGCTTGTCATTAAGAAAGTTGAATCCTAGTAGGAACCAAAGTTTCTGTCTCAATAATATTGAGTTTGCCATGAAAGGATATTTGAATACTTGCATTCTTTTCAAGGAAAAGGTAATCTGCTCCTTTTTTTCTTTGTAACATCAATCAAGTAGTCCTCATGTATGTATAGTGTGTAAAATAAACATAATGTATTAATATGATATTTGTAATATTAAAATTTTATTTTTTTCTAGAAAGTATTCTACTGTAATTGAAATATATTTATAGAAAGAAAATGTAGAATTTTATGAAATAATACTTGTGATATAGATGACTTATAAAAAAATATAAATTCTTAAGTATTTTCTTTAACAAAAAATTTCTGTATGTACTCTGTAGAATTAAACAAATGTTACTGTATATTAATATTTTTTTAATAATTTACAGCAGTAAAATATGTTACAAACAGAATCAATTAGTACATTAAGTGATCATGAGAATCATATTGATGATTTGGATGGCTCTATTGTATGGTCTCAAGAGGATCCACTTTCTTCCAACGAAATATTGGAATTATCTATGCAAGATCAAACAGAAAATAACTTAACTGCTTTCTGTCGATTATGTGCTGGTCAAACCAGTAATCCAGTATATATTTATTCTGAACTTGGAGAATCAATGAAGTTGGCACACAAAATAAGTACATGCCTGAGTATCAAGGTATAAGCAAGATCTCTTATCAAAATTAGCAAATCTTGTATAACATATTATGTACTGTATATTATATACTGTAATCTAAATTGCAGATTAAAAAAACGGATCCATTACCAAAGCAGCTCTGTTTGACCTGCGTCGACAAAATAAATTGGTGTGACGAATTTGACACACAGTGTGTTAAAGCAGAAGATACTCTGTTGACGATGCTAAAAGAAAAACGATCTTTCGACGTCTCTAATCGCGACAATCAAATGTTACTCGATCGACAGTCGTGTCCCTTATGCACAGATGGCTATATGAACGTCTGTAAAGACACATTTCAAGATGCGAAGGATATGGAATTGTATGAGAGTGATATAATTCTAGAAAGTAGTGACGAGGAATGTAGATTCAACAGCGCGAGAGTCGATAAGGAGGGCGAAAATCGTGCAGTTTTGTTACAGTTTCTAGGAAACAGACAGAGATACTTGAAATGTGGAGCGTGCATGAATCTTTATCACACTAAGGAGACTTTGGACGATCACAAGTGTAAGCCTAACGTACAAAGCACAACGAAACCGTACAAATGTCTCGTGTGCGATGCGACATTTACGTTTGAAGAACGGCTGAACTTTCACACACAGTTCCATAAAGGCGCGAAAACATTGTATTGCGAATTTTGCAAGATAACTTTCGGCAAGGAGTTGAAGCTATTTTACCACTACAAGAGGTATCACTGCAAGGACGTCAGCGTCTCATGCTTGCAGTGTGGCAAGTTATTCGAGAATCAGGAAGTACTGCGAATGCACATTTGCGCCGACGGCAAGAATCGGCCGCACGTATGCGAAGTGTGTAACAAAGGCTTCTCCGACGGTTACACATTGAAACGTCACGTAGTGACGCATCTGCCGGAGAAGCCTTACAAGTGTTCGCAGTGCTCGAAAAGCTTCACACAAAAGTCGAGATTGAATAAGCATGTTGCCGGCCACTGCGTAATCATCGAAGACAGTCAAACTGTATGGAAATGCTTGCAGTGCGGCGAGACCTTTGCTTCCTGCGACGATGCCGACGTTCATTGTCGAGCGCATGAGAACAGTATTACCTTGATCGAGGAACTGCCGGCATCGAAACTGTATCATTGTGAATTCTGTAACAGCCACTTCATCGACGTGGCCAATCTGAGAACTCATCAGAGCCGCCACGTCGTTGAAAGACCGTATACGTGTAATGCGTGTAATACCACTTACAAATCGTTCGCGGAAGCTATTCTACACTGGAAGGAACATCCCAGACTATTGAAGGTGCTTGTCGTCTTTCTGTGCGACGTTTGCAACAAAGACATGAAGGAATTGTCCCTGCTGTACAAGCACAAGCGAAAGAGGCACGATTATACCTCTAGACTATCCGAATCGGATGGCGCGAAGTTCGTCTGCGAACTTTGCGGAAATGTATTCGACAGCAGCGAGGAAATGCGGGATCACGGACGAGATCAATGTTCCAAATTTCCCTGCGATATTTGCGGCAGTCTACTGCCTACTGCGAATTCCCTCAATGCACACAAGAGGAGACACAACGGATTGAGGCCGTATGTCTGCAACATTTGCGGCAAGAGTTACACTCAGTCCAGTCATATGTGGACTCATAAGAGATTTCACATGGGTGTCAAGCCGTACGCGTGCCAATACTGCGACCAACGTTTCACGATAAAGCCGGACCTGGCGGATCATACCAGGAAGAAGCACACGCGGGAGAGGCCGTTCAAATGCGACGTGTGCCACAAGGCTTTTCTCACTGGCTCTGTTTTCTATCAGCACAGACTGATACATCGCGGTGATCGTAGATATAAATGCCACTATTGCGAAAAAGCCTTCACCAGGACGGAAGCATTGAACAATCATATCAAGATACACACCGGGGAGAAGCCGCACGCGTGTGACGTGTGCGGCAGATGCTTCAGACAAAAGGGAGACATGAGGAAGCATAAACGCACCCAGCACAGCTCACAAGCCGACTTGCAAAACGCACTGTGAAAAAGAAACTCTCGTGTTTTCGAGTACTTTGATTATTCAGTCATTGTTACAGACAACTTCATTATGTTGACATTCACAATATGACTCGATAAATGGAGTATAGTTAATATTGTGTATTTTATTGCATAATTAATATAACCACAATCCATTCTGCAAGTAACAAAATGCAGCAGAATCCCAATTTACACCGCGAGCATCAGTTACATCACATCTGTATTATAATTTCGTATTCAACAATGTAACAGTAATTGCACATGCAATATGGGTGTTACATTTACATTGTTAAGTGCGAAATTAAATCTAAATGTAATGTAATTGATGCTTGAGATGTTAATTGAAATGTAATGTTAAAGTTTGATGATATTAGAAGTAGAATGATAATGTAATATAAAAACGTAGATAAAAAATATATACACAAGATGTAATTTAAGAACATTACATTGTGTTCTTACATTGTATTATTTATATTGCATATTGTTATTACTATTTATTTACTACGTTTATCCACGATTCGATAAGTATGTTGATCATATTGTATATATTGCATAATTGTTATGACAAGTCCTATTCTACAAGTGACAAAATGCAGCAGAATATAATGTTATAGTCTAATGGTTGTTAGGAGTAGAATAACAATGTAATGTGAAAAACTTGGAGAAAATGTATATATTTAAAAATGTTCCATTGTTTTCTGTACATCATCATTTATATCGCACATTGTGTATCGTTTATGTATTACTGCTGCGTGATTATTTCATTATCTCGCAAAACTCGCCAGAGAGATTTTGAACAGTCACGAGCGTGTGACAGATGCGCGCCCTTCGTTGAGCGCGCATGCGCCCGCGCGACGGGGAACAGGTGATGTTACCTGCCTGATGTCTCATGACTCCCGTCATCGTGTATTTAATAATCGTCGCGCACGGACGATCGCTGATAGCCGACGTGTTTCGCTGTGATAAATATCAAGCTCATCGCACTCACACAGACGCAGGATGCCGTGATAAGAGCCGAGATGATAAGTGCGAGGTAGAATCGTGCCGACGGGCGCTCCCGAGCAGGTAAGAATACGAAGTGCCTCTGACAGGCAGCAAAAGCGTCAGCCGTTCCGTCGAGGAAAATTATTCCGCGGGTAGAAGGACGCGTCACGCCGAATCGCACCAAGCAATAATTTCCGCGTAATTTTCCGCGAACCTGTTCCGTCGCGAGAACTGCGCGATTTCGTTGACTTAACCTTAAACGTGTGACGCGTTTGACATATGTAACGAGCGCACGCATGCAAACCGACAGAACGGCGTAGCTGTAAACAAAACTCGTTCGCCGAGAGTATCGAGGAGCATTGGGCCTTAGTCGAATGTTCAATCGTTTACGTGTGCGAACGGGTTTGTTTGATTTCGCGCGAAGATGTGACACGTTCAAGCACATCGCTGTGTTTGACTAACGCCTATCTCTCTTAGTACCTTTTACTCTTTGTTTTCGTTAGTATTTGTAGAAAGTTGCGCGATAATTTAACGTTGGTGTGTCGTAGAGTAGAAGGGGAGAACCATGGCTTTTCCACCGTTAGTCAGTTCCACACCTCCACCTTTAGACAACTTCGGGGAATCCGATGAGGATGAATTTGGAGATTTCACAGCTGGTGGGATAGATGGTATTTATTTCCAAATTAAGTGAGGCTTTGATCTCCTACATCGGCTTTGATCTCTGACATCGTTACTCATTGTCTTTTGTATCATAGGCCACGCACTCAGCAGAGAAAGCTGCTTTGCAACTGTTGTGTAAAATTCGTGAATCTGATTGATATATGCTTTTAAATTCAATCGAAGTTAAGAGTGTATCCAATTCACAAATTTCACAACAGTTACAAAGCAATTTTCTTTGTTGAACACAGCCATAGTCATCAGAATCTGCTCTTTAATTTTCTCAAATTGTTATGTTTATAGGCTTATCAGTTTCATCAGAGTCCCCGCAGAAACTTATCACTCCGATACAAACACCAATAACATCACAGAACGTATCTCCTAGAATAAACGGCATTAATGAGTCACTAGTATTGGATAATTGTTCTAAGATAAACCAAGCCTTGAAATGTGGCGCCATTGACGACTTGCTCATCGTTGAGAAGGCAGAGGACAATGTGAGCCACATAAAATTGAAGGATAGGACAGGCGGCAGTAGCGTGTTGGAGAATAATATCGAGAACGCTAGCATAACAGAACGTAATGCATTAGATTCACCTAGGAACGGATGCGAGTCGCATAATGTTGAGACTAGTAATAGCATTGAACATGTTTGTACTCAGAGTGTTTTAGCTAAAGAGAATTTTGTTGATACGGATGTAATTAGTAGCAACAATAGTAGCTTAGCCGATAGCGTAAAGACGATTAGCGAGCAGGAGGGATCCTCCAACGATCTAGAAGCCAATGACGAGATAGAGCCTGCGAGTCTGGACCTGGAGGATCCCGCAAGCACGCCGGACATTCTGCATCAGCTGGACGACGATTTTTATAATTACGAGCAGTTTAAGGATTCCGCCGAATGGAACGACGCTGTTTGCGATCAAAAAACGACGATTCTGCAGGCAGACTACTTGAACGTCAATGAGCCTAATTCCGCGGACGGAGAATGCAATGAAGCGGACGAGGTAGAAGAAACTTACGCACCGTACGGCGACGATGATGTGAGCGTCAACGATACCAATGACGATAAATCCGCTTTCGTTCATGACGAAAGGACAATTTGCAATTTTGTTACCTCGCAAGAACTTAATGTAGACGGTACCGATGTGTTTAGTCAGTCAGACTGCGAATTCAGTATTGAGCCAAAATATATAGAGATGTACGACGTGATATCTAGCAATGAGACGAGCGTGAAATCGAGCGAGACTCTGCACGATTCTTTCGCTTTCGATTTCACTTTCGATGACGTCGTAAAAGAGGAATCAAATTTAAACCGCGCATCTGTACATACGCATACCGAGGATAGCTTCATTCAAAAGTCCAGCGCAAAGAACGATGGGAGTTCCTTCTTTAATCATTTCTGCGATACAGACGATGTAAGGAATACGATACAATCAAAAGAGGATGAGCAGGTGGTAGAAACGAAGAATCAAATTGTTCGAGAGGCAAGTGCGAACGAAGAGATTCCTGTTTACACGACGAGAGGGTCCAATGAGGAGGACATGTATGAACGGATCATTTTGGAGAATGGTCTCGTCCCGCATGACTCGGATAACTCCGACTTTACAGAATTTATGGAGCACAGAGGAGACTTCGACGGTGTACCCGAATTAACCGACAATTTTAATCCGCTGTCCGATAATGATAAAGAATACGAAACAGTACAAATTCATGATGCATCTTCATCCGATATGTCTTGTGTACAAAAGCTCTCATCGATTGAAAAAGCCTCACTGCCATCTACTAATACATCTCTCGACTGCTTAAAAGATAAAATTAATCTTACTGCGAGTACCACGGAAGAAGCATGTGCCACATATAAGATCGAGAATTCTGTAGTGTATTTTAGCGATGGCGAGTTTTATGATGTCAATCTGAGCAAGACCGAGCCAGTACTCACCAGAGTACAAGAGAGCAGTTGCCTCGGATTCGAAGGCGCGCAAAATGAGGATGACGATTTCGGCGATTTTACTAATTTTTCGAACACAACGGTGGAATGGAAGCGCGATGACGACGCGGAAGAACCGAGAGAGTCCGAGGACGACGATGATTTCGGGGACTTCAACGACTTCGAGACGTCAGTCGGTGTAGTAGAGACGCAACAGTTTAGTTTGAAAGAGTCTATATGTCGGATAGAAAACAAGAATGTGAGTTAAGGAATGTTTGTAACGTAAAGTAGTTGGTAGTTTGTTAGAGAAGCGAGTGTATTGCTTCAGCTTAAATTTAGAGTCCTGCGATACGGTGAACATAATACATGATTTAACTTGCAATTTGCCATGTGTCTGACTTACATTTGATTTCAGGCCGCGAATAAAATAGAAGATATAATAACGAACATGTTTTCCTCCATTCCTGAACATCATGAAATCGAGTTACAGCCTTTAATAAATAAAACGGACAAGGTTTGGCAGAATGTAAAGAGTGTAGAAGAAACCAATGCCCTCACCTATCAATGGGCTAATAGCAGTAGTAACAATGTTCTCCTAAATGCTCTTGGCATCGATTCCCGAAATATTGTAAGTATATCTCTATTTCGCATATTCAAACTGAAAATTCCAGGCCATTTTTTTGGAAATATAATAATTCACGTTGTGGAATTAAAGCTATTCGGACCGAGATGGAATCCAAATGTACCAAGATTCGCAGCGAATCTTGGCTTCACCCCGTTAGAGCCGACTAAAGCTAACGCTGAGTCTCAGCAGCTTCCCATACCCAATATCAGCAAGATGCAAGGCGCAGCTTGTTCAGATGTAAGTTTAAGCTTTGTTCCCATAAAATGCATGTGAGTAGATACAATTTCCGTAATAATTAATAATTGTGACGTCATATTAGGAAGTACCTGCCGCCCAATTTGATTGGAATAGTTCTGGTCTTGTAAATCCTCTAGATGCTAGTAAGTATTTATTGTGATTATGTGTGTGTGTGTGTGTGTCGTAGTTAAGATTTATGATACAGCTTGCTTATATATGATACAGCGAGAAAAGAGAACGCCGTATCGTTCGTTTCGTTGAAGTGATATGATAACGAAATATTTTCCGAACGAATATTTCAACAAAGATGATGTCGTATGTAGAGACGTGAATTGTATCTCGTCTTAAATGTTGCAAAAATTAACAATACAGGTGGTGGTGGGTTATCTGCTCTTCTGCCTCTGGATTTGTTGTGTCCGTTTGATCCTCTACTAACACCTCATTGTTCCACACATTCCGAATCCTATCATCAGTCAGCTTGCTCAACGAACTCCGTTTATTACTGTAAGTGCTCAGCGAACCTGGTAATACCTTCATCCTTTTGTACATGTTCATAATTTTTATTTGAAATAAAAGTTATCCTTAGTGTATACATTAGATCTCAAGTAGAATCTTGCTTGTGTTTTTAAGCACCTATAGTATCTTTATCATTTCTGTATCAATAATTATATACAATCAATGATCTATCATTATGCAGTTTCGTCTGATGCAGTTTCACAAGAACCAAGCAGCCTACAAGCCGTGAAGTCGCAAAATTTGTCCGATCTTACCAGTGGTTCGCTGAAACAACAGAAGTCATCTCAGACGTCCAAGATAATAGAACCATTACCAGGACCCTGTATAGTGGAATGGAAGAAAAAGGCCGAGCAAGATCTTGGAGCTAGACAAAAGAATTCGTCGCATAAGCCACTAAGAAGTGTTCCACCGACCAACAATAAATCACTTTCAGTAAGCAATAATTCATCTAAAACACACGAATATCACAGAAGATCATCAGTAGGTAGAAAGGAGAACACGCAAGGCGCGGAACAGGTGGTCATGGACAGATACGGACGACCAATGACCGTGCAGACCGAAACGATGAAGGTCCTGAATCAGTTACCGGACTTATCGTTTTTAAACGCCAGAACTTTATTGTTCAATCGCGAGCAGAAGCAAATTGTGCACGATCTGGGCGCTATGATAAATCGGAAGATGCCCGGCTGAGTAACATCGGTCTGAATACGAGTTTGAAAGGGCAACCGTGATAGAAGCAACACCTCTAGGGGTTTGCGAGTTGGACGTTTCTAATGACCCAATTACAATCAAAAAAGAACTTCTGCTACCTTTCAAACCTGTGTTCAGACCAACCTCTGACGATCCACCACTCGGCTCTTCCACGTCGGAAAAAAAGAAATAAAGAAACGCTACTTACATGGGACACACCGTGACTAATATCTATATCAGAGTCACGTCTAACGTGCGTTCACAAACGCGTGTTAGATAGCTCCGTTCTATATGCTTGAAGCACCGAGCATGCACTTGACATTCCGAACCAACATTGTTTTGTGATTCTATTAAACTACTGATATTGTTATTTTACTCCTTAAAGAACTATATATTTACTTTGTTGCGAAATTGTATAATTTAACGTTGCACAACAATTGTTCTTTCCGTTCGAACGCAAGTTTGTTCTGTCAGCTCAACAGTTGCGTAGTCTTTCTTAGAGACGCGAATGTAGGTTTACGTCGCGGTAGACTTAAGAATTCACATTTGGCCATGTTCTAGTCTGCAATACTTGTTAACAATAAGTTCCGTGTATTATATGTTAGGAAATTCGTTTTGGGCTGCGTACTTTCGATAATGCTTGCGTGCAATCAAGCAGCTCCAAAGTATTATATCCATTCGTATCGTATTCCAAATTTATCGACTAACGTTCCGGAACTATTCCTAAATGAGGAAACAAATATGAATGCTCACGTATCGTACACATTCAGGATACTGTGTGTACTGTCGTACGACTTCACATCCGTTACAATTTCAAACAATCGTTAATATTCCCAGTCACATAGAGAAGAGAGAGAACACTTAACTGTTCAAAATAAACTATATGCTAATTGTAAGTCAATTATCGTAGTGATTGACGAGAGGATTGATACATGTAATGAAACCGTCGAGTGATGTCAACTATATCAAATTCGCTTGATGCTTTTATTGCACATTTTGAATTTCTACTCTATGGGACATAATGTACTTAATTATGTAAATCTTGGCATATAATACATATATATATTTGCATATTGATCATTAGAGCGAAATGATAAGCCGAAATATTACTCTATTACCGAGTTCGTTATTTATTAATAACAACATTGTAATATATATTTTATGTAAAATATTGTGGATAACATTAACACATAGGCAATCTTTGACGACCGAATTTGTTGTTACTTTTCTGGATAGTCTCCATAAAAAATCGTTTCTTACGATTTTTAAAGTCCTCGACTTTTTCCCAACCCTTGACTTCAGTTTTTTTCAAAACTATCAATTTAATAATTGAAATAGACATAAAATATATAGGCATTGGCCTCAAAATTCCTTTTATTAGTATATATCTGTTAAAAATTTTATCATTCGTAGTTTTTTACATACTCCCGCGATAAGATATTTATAAATTACTCTCACATTAGTAAATATATAATTCACTATATTGGATAAACAATTGCAATATTTGCAGAACTTATACATATATATAGAATTAAAATACTAATAATTAACAATGCTGATCGTCATAAATATAAAATACAATCAAATTTGGTGAAATATAAAACTAATTATACATGATAAATTTGTTCCTTTAAAATATTAAAGATATATTTTCTCATTCACAAATATATTAGACTAGAACTCTTTCAATTTCAGTATATAATTTATATATATATATATATATATATATATATATATATATATATATATATATATATATATATATGTGTATATGTGTATATGTATATATATATTGATGTACATATAAAATATTATGTACATTTTATTAAATAAATATACGATATGATTCTTTTAATTAAGAAAATAGATCATCTTCAGGCTCTTCTTCTAGAATATTAAGCCGTTGATTAGTGATTTTTGTCATATGTTTCACATCTGCATTTTGCAATATTGATTTATCTTTGCTAGTTGAAGGCTCAGGACTTGGACTTTTATTAAATGAGAGATTTGTACATCTTGTGAAATCTTTCTTACTAATCTTTGGTTTATCCTGTCCATCTTGATAATTTGCCTTGCGTTTTTTTATATTAGAAGACTTAATGCTAGTTTCTTGCACATTTTGATCTTCTGCATCTGATCCTCCACTTTCATCAGTAGTCTCATCATATATCGACTTTATTGCTTTCTTATCCAGAGCTTCCTGAAGCTCTCTAATCTTTTGCTTCTTTGAATTCAGAAGTAAAATAAATTTCCTATAAAGATCCTTCTCCATACTTTCCTTCATCCTTATAGTTATTTCTTTATCTGTAGCCAGCTTTGCATTAGTTTCATCTAAGTATTTATTTTTTTTTTCCAACACTACTATACATTTCTGATATCCTTCATAACGTTCCAGTATTTGTTTCAAAATGTCAGAAATAGTTAATATATTTGAAAAAGGATGTACTGTGATTTCTCCACGAATGATAAAATTATGCTGTTTCCATGTAAATGTATCATCTTTCAGAAAAAACTGTACTTCCATATTTTCACCAGAAAACGCACGTTTTGTTTTCTCCAGATACATGTCAAAGGACTCCTCTAGATGCTGTAGATAATATTTTGCATTTTCTATGCACATCTGAAACATTAAGTACAATTATCAGTTGTGTTAACTATGTAAGAAAATAACATTCCATATTATTTTTCTGATAAGTAATAATTGATAAAGTATTATGTGTCAAAAGTTACACTTGTCTTCTTGCGTATAGAACATATCAATAATTTAAAGTAAAATAATCAAATTATATATATACCTCACCACTCAGCGGTACCTTGCATGAGCGTAATAATATTATTTTAAAATATGTGTTCTGCCATTCCGCATACAATGTGAAATTGCTTTGGTCAATCTGATTCACAAGCTGGCTTACGCTTATGTCAGTCATAACGTTTTGTTTCAAAAGTTTAAAAAAGGAGTAGCAGGAATAACAGCGATATTACGAGAGACATTTGACCCTATTTATATTTATCTTCCGATAAATTTCTAATCTAACTTATTTAGTGAAAAATTAACGTGAATACATATTTCGGTATATAAAAGCAAATTATCACTCTCATTTTTTAACGTGATTAAAAAGTAATGTGCACGTTTTAGGTTAGCAACATGTCATTCTGATAAAAAGATAGTAACGTACGCATGCGTTTGGAGATTAGTCTTGATATTAGTTTGATATTTGTTTTAAAATTTTTAATGTTAGTTCTATTACAAGAAAGAAAATATATATACAATGCAATTAAAAAAATATATATATATACAGAACTTGTTACGAAATTAAAAATCACATTTGTTCGTAGAGTATTTACAAGAATTCATATATCAATAGAAGAATCTTTTTATCTACATTACATCCCAAAACGTCCAATTTTACTCGATAATTCGAGAATTTTACGAGTGTTTTCAATTGATCACTCGTTCTAAAACTGTAAGGAAAACTTTGTATTTAAATAAAATATGTATTTTGTCTGCGTGAGCTGCGAAGGATTAAATGGCGGGAACAGAAGGTTAATTATTCCATCTAAAACAGACTTTGCAAATAATATAGTTATTTTTATTTATGCAATACAAGTTTATCTGGGTTGCATTCCAAAACGTTCTTTTTGAGGAAAATTTTACTTAATACCTATAATTCACGTTACATATACTATAGAGTATCGAGTAAAATTTTCTCAAAAAAGACGTTTTGGAATACTGGATAGGCTTTCAAAGTGTAGCTAATGATCCAATAAGATATAATAAATTATTAAAAAATAAGTTCTCTCATTGTAGCATTGGCTATTAAAGAAAAACATGATCAATTTAATAATAAAAAAGTTTATTATGTAAAACTGAAAAAATATATATACCCATTCTACTCGATTGGAACTAAATACTTTCATATTAATAATGGGTGCTTTCCAATTGCGTACATATGAAAGTTCTACTTCTATCCGTTTAATGATGTCACATTTTTTTGTAAACCGTTGCAAATTATTCAAAGTTACCCCGGTGTTCCAAGTTACCTCAAATGACGGTATTTTAAATAATGTTTTAAAAAATGTTGAAAAATGTTCTTTTTAAAAAATGTTTTTTTTATAATATTACATATATATTATATAAAAATTCTTAATATATATATATATAATTTTTTTTTTTTTTTTTTATTCATATATTATATATCTCTTTCATATATTATATATCTCTTTCATATATTATATAAATATCTTATATAAATATTATATATTCTTATGTAATATAATAAATACAAATTTGGTATGAAATTATATAAATATCTTATTTTGTGTTTTTATATTTTCCTTGCAAAGCAGATTTTTTTTCTTGTTACTTTAAAAATTGTTCATTTTTATATTATAGCAAAGTTATATTTTTTTTAATGTAATATTTTATTTGAAGAAAAAATAAAAAAGTTTGTTATTGACGATTAAAGAAATATCATAATAATTTTTCATGTATTTTAATGATAACTGCAATTTATGATCACGGACACCACACAAAATATCTTTCACATGGTAAAATAGAAATCACAAGTATGTGATAGTTTACATAATAGCCGTTGTCCTGGCGGCGCTACAGATGTTAATGTTTTGCTGCAGACGTAAAATAGCGGCTAGCGGTCCAATAGCGGTTATAAGCTTCAAAGCTTCAAGCGGTCAAAACTTACTACACCTATTGTGGATCGGGACTTAAGCAATTGGAAAGCACCCATTGCGTGTATATATCACGACCAATCACAACTCGATTTTATTTATGGTTACGGATATGTTTACAGACCATTGGATCCGCACCTTAATCCTTTTATCCCTTATTAATCCAATAATCCTTTTTCCCTAAATTTGTTAGAGAAAGAATCGAATCGATTAAGAATTAAGAGCATCTCTAAAGCGTCTTCTACAATGGCAGTAGGAGTAGTAGTAAGAAATAAGCAGTAAGCAAATTGACCAATTCCATTCTCACGTTTCAAAAATAATCGATTGTGATTGGTCTATTTACTTACTGCTTATTTCTTACTACTACTCCTACTGCCATTGTAGAAGACGCTTAATTCACACCACGTCTGATGTCCGATGTACGACGTCCGATATCCAATAGGAGGACAGTTTTTCAGTGGAGAATTGAATTCTCTATTAGAAAGCTGTGGTGGGAGTACGTTAAAATAATAACAAAGAAATAGAAAGAAGTTTTCTGTCACGTTTTCTGTCTATACAATCACGTGTGACAACTCGATGAATTGTTGCACGATAAACCGTTGCACGTAATTGTATAAACAAAAAATTTTTTTCTATTTCTTCGTCTATTTTTTACATCAGTTCTACCACTGTTCTCTTGTTGGATATCGGACGTCGTAATTCGGACATTGGACGCAGTGTGAATTTTGCATAAGGGCTGTGACACACAGAATTACTTTGCACTAGTTCAGCTAGGCCAGGAATACCAACAACTAGTTCAGCTAGTTTGCACTAGTTCTGACAGTTCAGCTAAAAAGAACAGACCTCTGGCGTAACATTCTTTTACTTGTGTCACTTATTTTTCCACGTAACTTTCGTTAACCTTTACTGATTGGATTTTATCACGGTGAAACGTGCTATTGCTCACCAAAATGCAGGTTCCACCAATTTTTATGGAATTGCCGCTGGATGATCAGGTAAATTTGCTTACATATTTAAAATATAATCAATTCCTTTGTATGCAGCTTCGTGGACTGTATACAGAGAAAGTAGCTCTAAAACACTTATCCCATCTGTAATATTTTTAGGTTATTTGATAATTATACACACATGACAAAAAATGTTATAGTTTTATTGATATATTTTATAATAAAATAACAATAATTATTAAAATTACGATAATAAATACTAACACAAGTGAATATAAAAATGTTATCAAAAATTGCACATTAATTAATTAAATATTGTTACTAGGCGCAAGAGCTGAGGGTATATTTTAAGAGCCTTGGTGCAGAAATCAGTGAAGAGAAATCTCCTAAAGGTATAGAAGATGATTTGCACAAGATCATTGGAGTATGTGAGGCATGTTTCAAAGAAGGAAACGAAAGTGAAATAGAATCTGTATTGAATGATATTGTTTCTATCATGATCTTGGTAAGTTTAATATTCAGCATTGTCTACATAATAAATATTAATATTATTTTTTTTTCATTTTCTTCATCTTTGATCTTAGATACCTACAGAACGTGCAGAAAATCTGATTTTAGCATTTTGTGAAAAACTTATAAAAGCACCTGGGTATAAGTTAGGATTGGTATGCCTGAAAGCGTAAGATATTGTCTCTTTTCACATATGTGCGAAATAATGGATTTCAATTTATTCAATGTAACAAATAATATACTTTTACAGTTTATGGCTATTATTCCAGTCTTTGGCTGATGATTCTCCAATGAGATACCACGTTTATTATCATTTAGTACAAATAGCCCGCAATGTTGATCAGGTAAAAGCAGTATATGGTGGAATAGATCAATTGAAGCAACAATTTGCCTCATTTCCACCATCAAATGAACAAATGCAGAAATTATTGCGTTTGTTACATGAAGTTCTCCTAAGCTGCAAACAAGGGTAACTACTTGGACCTTTATCATGATATGTTAAATATTAAAGATTTATCTATTCTATCAAAGAATAAATTACTTTAGAATACTAGTATTTATAGATATGTTTGTGTAATCTTAGAGAACAAGCAGCAGCAGTCATGGTAGAACTCTTAGGGACTTACACAGCAGAGAATGCTTCTGCAGCAAGAGAAGATGCACAACGTTGTATATTGGCTGCGTTAGCAGATCCAAATACATTTTTATTAGATCCACTCTTGGCTTTGAAACCTGTGAGGTTTCTGGAGGGCGAATTAATACATGATTTACTTCTTGTGTTTGTACAAGACAAATTGCCAGCATATTTATACTTCTATCAACATCACAAGGAATTTGTTGAGCATCAACTTGGTATGTACTTCGTTTAATATAGGTAAAAATATTTAATTAAGATAATAAGATTTTTTATTTATTTTGTAGGTTTGAATCATGAGCAAAACATGAAGAAGATGAGGTTATTGACCTTTATGCAACTTGCTGAGACTAATCCAGAAATGTCTTTTGATACAATACAAGAAGAATTGCAGATCAGTGAAACTGAAGTGGAAAGTTTCATAATTGATGGTAAGCTATTTTTGCTGTTCAATTCTGTTCATTACCAAAATATCAAATTTCTTATGAATATATCAAAATATTATATTTCTTATATAGTGATAATTATACCCTGTGTAAATGAAATAGTTTCCATTATTTTTTTAAGTGGAGATCTTATTTAGGCAGGGTATATTAAATGAATCAGTACTGGCTTAGTAGAATTATATTTTTACTAAGTTATCGAGGCATTCGACAATTTTAGGGCTACTTGATGTAAAATGCACAAAGTGCTTTCTAATAGATATAAAAATAACATATTGTTGCACCTATTTATCTCTTTCAGTTTTAAAGACGAAACTTGTAAGAGCGCGCATGGATCAAGCAGGTCGTAAAGTATTAATCTCGAGCACAATGCATAGAACATTCGGTCGTCCGCAGTGGATGCAATTACGGGATTTACTCGTATCTTGGAAAGCTAATCTCGCGGCCGTTCAAGACGGAATGAAGACCGTAGCCGCTGCACAAATAGAACTCGCAACGAAAAATAAGGCTGCACTTGGTCACTGACGTTACTAAAAGATTTCATAAATAGATAACACGTGGAAATACAATACAATGATTGGCATAACTCCGACGTATATATCAAGTCTAGCTGCAAAGTGAAAAGGAAGGATCCAACTGTAAGCATAATTTATATTACAGTATTACACTTGCATTTGATAAGAGTTATATGAAAAATAAAAGCTACTATACGATGGAAAAATTGTTATAAGGCCTTGATTACAGACATAGATTTAAACATTCATTAAAAGCTAGACTTAATTATCTTAAATTGCGTTTTTTATGTCGAATTATCTCTATGAAATGAATGATACAATTCAAATCTGCACAATACATACCAAGTTATATTAACAATTTGTTAAAAATTATTTATCTCAATATTTTTAATATGTTCCTGTATTTTTCAATATCTAGTAATTAAAAATAATCAGTCAACTTAACAATTTATACAGAATCCGACAAATGTAATAATATAACTGTATTATCGTTTATAAAGTAACGATTAGTACAACTGTTCTTAAACAATTAATAAAACCATTTCAAATAATTTGTCTGCATTTTTATTTGTAAAAATTAACTCTGATATACATAAATTTTATTACAAATCATTGATTCTTTTTATAAAGAGGCATAAACAATAAGAAATATACATAATATAGTAAATGTAATAAAGTGTGAATTTTAAAAGTGTGAAACGAGATTTTTGTACTAACTCGTGCGTTATATATCTTCCTCTTTTCTTAACTTACAAATTAATTGTAATATATTCTACATTTTGCTAGAAAAACGCACTGATAAATTTTATGAATATTAAAAGATAAATGTATATACCAAAAATCAGTTTAATTTAAAATAAAAATTAAACGATGTTTATATCTGACATTAGCATTTGTAATTTCTTTTGACATATATCTATATGTGTGTGTAATATTAAAAAGTCAATATTAATATAAAAGTAATATCACTATTAATATATTGATAATAATTATGAATGTACATATGTATAGTCGAATTAGGACACATCATATACATTCCATAAAGAAATATAAAAATATATGTTTAACACTACATATATATAAACTACTACAAAACTGGATGTGAAAAAAATATTAATATCGTATATTGTACAATTTTACTTCTATGTGTGTGTATGTGTGTGTGATCATGATATTCTTGCAGATTTGTTATATAAAATGAAAAACAAATTAGCAATATTCAGATTTAAATAAAAAAATTTCAAATGCGTGCGCGCACGCGAATAGATACAATTTACATCACCTGCAGTATATTTGGCTTTTAGTAAAAAATCAAATACATTGTGATACAAAAAAATTATCTTGTACTCACACAACATTTACATAATAAGATACTTAATATAAGTCAATATATCAAAATAAAATTGAAGGTGGGAAAAAATATCGTTAAAAATAGATAATAAAATGTGGTAGTGTTATACAAAACATTTAATAATCTACTTTTAAATCTTAATTCCTATATATAAGAAATTATTATTCATAAAGCCTTTGTCTCACTATAATTATATAATCACACTTGCGTTGAGTTTTATGTACCATTAATTATATAAAGTATCCGTATTTATAATTGACACCATCTCTGAATTTATCAATAGCACTTTAATCTTTAACACAATGAGATGAAATGTAATATTGCAAAATGTTCATAACATTTTATAGACATCAGCAATGCAATAGCGCAATATAATTATTATTATGAATTATTGTATTACAATATATTAAGTAGTTGCAACCTGAGTTAATGATAAAAAAATATTCAGTCCGCTGTATAGTACATAAACATTGCAAGTGAACTTATACTTGAATAAAATTCTAAATTATTGTACTAAATATATTTAGATTTTGCAGACGTATATTTAGGCGACTGTAACTATTTTAATTTTTCCTCTTTCTTACTTTTTAATAGAGAATCTTTTTCATACCTGCAAGTATAACTTTTGGTTTAAATAACATATAAAGTTCTTTTTTCTTTTATTTTTATGAAATATTTGTATTGTTTAATAAATTTAGAGATAGCCGAAACACCTCGAATTAAGGCATACCCTCAAGTTTCTACAAAATATGCATAGAGTTCTGTACTTTTGCAGAACTGACCATATTTATTCTAATGTATACATAAATCTTTTGCAACTTTTGTTTGAAAGACAAATGACGGATGTGATAGGGATTATGATATATTGTATCAAAAGCACTGGAACATGCCGAGTGGATTTCTTAGCTCGTACTTGACAAGTCAGATCTGAGTAGAAAATCTGGGACGTGGTAAGTCTCCAAATATTGTATCACCATGGACGCTTTTAGCTAAGGCTTTAATTGAAGCTCGAATATTGTTCGGGTCTAATGGATCACCAGGCAGCTGTAATCATATTTTTTGTTTGTAACACAAGAGATATTGATTCATAACTAAATCTTGATAAAATATTGATCGAAACTAAAATCGAAACAGAGGAAACCTATATATATATATATATATATATATATATATATATATATATACATACACAGCTTGTATAATATGTATATATATAATTATTATAAGTTTTTAAATATGTGTATAATTTTACCTGATCGTCATCTTGATCTTGTACTCTACGACGAATCATAGAAGGGAAAGCGGGTACAGTGACAGGTAGCGATTTAGCCAAAGTGGAATGACCATCCCGTTGACCTTTTGGCATATGAATCCCTTCATCTTGGCCTGAATCTGCAAAAATTATTTTCTTGACTTCTAGTGTGATAGAATAGTCAAGAGAAATCAGTTGCTAAATGTTGGGTATAATCATTTCATCTAACAGTGAAAAGATAAAATTGTTCAACAGTGTAATATATGTACTTATGACATTTTTCTGAACTTGTTATGTATATGAAATACTAATTAGCCAACCTCCTTGTTATATCGAATTAACTCTGTATCATGAATAATTTTAATATTGATATCTCCCTCCTCCCTCTCCTTTATAAGTCTCAAATCTTGATAGGAAACTACTATTAGTGTTGTGAAAAATATTGTCTCAATCAGGAATTGAATCTAGACCTCTCCTAAACTTGCTGAGTCAGGCACCATTCTAATTTGGTAACTGTAACTTTGACAGTATACTAAGCAAAACTATTGTATAGAAGTAATAGAATCTTAACTCTTTCTTTCTCTCTTTTTCTTCCGTCAACGTGATATAAACAATTTGTAAAGATTTTGAAAGTATACTAATAAAAAAGAATGACCAATAGGACCCAATTGCTAAATATTGGGTGCAATAAATTATTTTTTTGTTTTAAATCCAAATAAATTACTTCAATGCTAAGTAATATACAATACTACCATCTATCTTAGTGGTACAATTACACAAAATTACGTTATCACTGAAGACACAAATATTATATATAATATTTAATGGATAATATTACCATCAGTGTCAGATTCCTCTTCCGAAGATTGTATTTGATTAGGGGCATCTGTATCTTCTACTCCATCAAGAGTAAACATTGTTTCTGTATCAAAGCTAACTGATCTTTTAGTACAAATATATAACGGTTTTTTCTTTTTCGTACTTTCATTCTGCAAAGTTCATTATAAATCAAATTTGTATAAATGATTGCAATAAGAATATCCGTAAATAAATCAATATCAACGAAAAAACTTAAGATCGTAAAAGTGACTTACATTAGCGGAATTAGAAGAGTGCCTAGGAGCTGCCTCGTGCTTAACATTTGAGCCAGTAAAAACTTTTGTATCATCTAATGCTACAGTGGATTTTGGGCCGTCCACCATATTGGTTGCAGAGGTAGTCAAAGTATTCTTAAAGCTGTCAGGAGTTGTCGGCGGAGTTTCTATGTTATTGGTTACTCTATTTGTCTCTTCTCCTTTACACACTAGTCTAATTTGGAACAAACGAGTCATGATTACTATTACGTAATAATACGGCACGTACTTGCGAAATGATAGTCATTGAGCATACTTTGATAATAATCTATGTTCGTTGTGTGCTCTTTCACGAAATTGCTCCAACAGCTGATATTGTTCCGCGGTAAATGCACGTATTTTATCTTCTATTACCGCCGTTTGACGTTGCACAGCTTCCTCTAGTTGCCGTTGTAATCCACCTAGAGCCACTTGAACTGCATTAGGTAATTGTGACACTGCAAAAATGAAAGAAGATATCTAAATGTTCAATTAAAACACAATGAAAATGAGTACTATTACACACACACACACACACACACGCACACACACACACACACACACACACATATATATATATATATAATTTATACAGGCACAATATTTACGTACCAGAAAATTTATTAGGCTGTTGTAGGTAATCATCTAAGTCTTCCACACTGTGATCAATTACTATCCTAAATACTGGACTGTAATCTGGATTGGACTTTAATTTATTTATTTCTTCAGATAATAACTGAAATATAAATAACATTTTAATTAAGATTATTAGTTAAGAACCAAAAGCATAAAAAGTAATACAAAATTCACAAGATTTCTGTTAACTGTTTATATGATATGATATTTATATGATATGATATTTATATGATATGAGTAAAGATATATTTCAATTAATTCTGTGCAAATATAATCATCTTTGATCAAATCAATTACTTAACTTATCAAGTAACTTCCAGTGTTATATTTTGTCATAGATAAAAAATTATATATACAAACAACTATTGCACAGTAATCAATACTGTTTAAAATTTATAACATGCAAATTAAAATCTAATTTTTATACAAGTAGAATGTGAATAGTTAAAATAGATTGATATGTATCAAATGAGAAATTATCTATATGTTACAATCTATATGTTACAATATGGAAAAGAACTATACTATACTATTTGGCAAACATTATTATTTTATTTTATATTATGTAACCATATAATATTATTTATGATATCCCTTGTACTTACAACAATATTGCTATTGATAAGGACTAAAGCAGCACCATATTCTCTATGAACAGCATGAGTATACATTGAGCAATTGTAACAACGATGTATAATCCATGATCCAACATTCTTTATTTCAACTAAGCCAGGCTGCTCCTTAGTAATAGTTTCCAACCCTGGTACACTTGCCAGAATCTGTAAAAGATAAAATCAATATTTATTACATTTTATTGTTGTTGCATAATGTATTACTTTTAATTATTTTTAACTACAATCAGATAATCTCAAATTGAATTAAAGCTAATTATTAATATGTTCGGTACAAGTGTGTTACGTAAAGTGTATTTAAGTCGCGAAAGGTATACGCAAAATGAAAGATAAGCAAAGATCGCGAAACATCGTATTATCGCATTGAAGAAAAAAAAAACGAAAGTCGTGCATCAGAGCAATTTCAACGAGTTCACATGACGAAACTAATCTCGTGGCGCGGAAAATTAAATTCCAAGATTACATCGATATTGATACTGTAGTAAAACACGAGAGAAAAAAACAAATATCGCAAGTTCGTACTAAGCCGGTATGCAACAAACGTGACAACGCACACCCGCGAAAGTATTTTTCTTTTTCTTCTTTTTAAGAAAATATAATTATCGAGAAGTCGTCGGCGCTAGAAAATCAGCTGAAAACACATTAATTAAAAATTAATACCTCGCGAAAGAAATCATCGGCGCGCTCCAACTCGGTTAGCTCGAATTTTTCGATGTCGACTGGCTGCAGTTCACTGCTCTTGGACCTGATGGACACGTTCAGGCATTTGCAAGTGATGTGCATCTTTGGATCGATCAGCACTGACGGTAAGCGAGAGAAAAGTATTTTCCGCCGAAAAATCGAAAACAGAAGAAACCATGAACCACTCGATTGACGATACACCAACAATCCCAACTGGTTCTTTGTTCCCTTCTCCCGAATTCGTGCCACTCAGATTTTTCACAGACTGATCACAAAGGTCGTCGTCTATCGACGTGAACCACGATATCTCGCCACTAATAACTAATCAGATAAAACAAAGATTGCCGAAGCGGCAGCTTTTATGCACTGCTCTCCTCTCTCTCTCTCTCTTACTCACTCGATTCTGAACACAAAGATTCTTGACTCACTAAGAAAACAGCAGATATGGAAAATAAATGACAATATGAACGAGACCGCTGTGGCACAACTGAACTCACGAAAGCTGCCGTTTCTGAAAGATCGATATAGGAAAGCCGATGCGACAAAAGATTCTCTCTCTCTCTCTGCTTGTTCCTCTTCGTCTTCCCCTCTCTTTTTTGATGTACGAAGCGTTACCTTCGATAATCTATCCGTCGAATTGGACAAACTGACCAACTTGTCTGTCAGGCTATTCGTGAAAAGATCTCGAGGATTTCGGCAAAGGTACTAAAACACGCGACCGACGAGAACGAGCAGGCCTCTGCTTCGCTCGAATTGTTGCTAATAATATTTGCTTTCACTTCGGTGTTTACATAGAACTGGAGAACCAGCGTACGTCGGAATGCTTACGCGAGTGTCGCACGATCGCACGTCGCCGGTCTCTCTCGTTGATACGCATGTAGAGAATGGACGGTGAGGGGGAAATAGGAAGGCAAGATGGTAGCGCAAAGCGACGAGTGTTTATGAAAATTTCGGCGGCCCTGAGCGACTAAAAATAAACACGATTTACAAACACGCTACTCAACAATCGTAAATACACAAAAATACATTGCTAATCAATTGATCGACTCGGGTGACAATGGCTGCGTTCAGAAAACACAGCGATTAGTGAATATTGGTTTTTACTGTTAGATCTCTAACTTTGGACCAATGATTATGTTGACGAATTACTCAACCGTTGCGCAATCGTTGTTTTTTTAACGTAATCAATAATGCATACATACGATGTCAAATGTGCTCGTATATCTGAAGTTAGCCGTTATTTTGTCGCAAGACTAATGTTGCTTGATAGTTTCAACCAAATATTTCGCGTGAAACCTAAAAAGACATGAGATCAAAAGAAATACAGTCACGGTCTACGAGTAGTTAGACGCGATGCCTCTCCCTCCGAATTGTTCGTACTGAAGTTGAAATACGAGAACACATTTTTTTTAGCGTCGAATGTTCCGTTCAGCTACACCTTCTACACTTCATTCAGTTCTCCCGTTTACATCTTTACCCGTGGAAGTTATAAATATATAACTGTTTTGTTTTAAAAATATAAAGTATAAGAAAAAAATAGTTTAAACTTGAGGAGACATGAGAAGCTATTAAAAATAACTATCTGTTATTTTTAATAGTATTCGTAGAGACTAATGAAAAACTTATTGGAACAATGGATGGATAAAAATATAAAGGATAAGTTTATGCTACTTCAAAAGGAAGAAGAAAACGTTATATTGCGTGTTTTAAAGAGAAAAGAATTCTATAAAAGAAAAAATAAAAGAAGCATTGCGCGAAGCTGAAAATCAAACGGAATTGATATTGGGTGCCCTGCTTGATATAGTGGGTATTTCATCCCATTGAGAGAATTACAGTGACATAATCGACCTTGTAGTGTTATATTTGTTAAACTCATTAAATGTACGTTCTCGCGTCTGTAGCTCCATCGATTATCACGCGTTTGTGAATAGAATGTTTTCAGCTTTTACAACCAGTTACTCGTGATTGCGACGATATTTTTAAATTCGCTGTTCATATCATGGTTCTTCCAAAAAAGATTATATTCGTGTTGTGACGAGCATTTAAATGGCGAGAAATGACAAAAGAAAGCTATCAACTAACGCGCGACAATAAACCAGGACTGGATAATTCAAAGTTTGAAGAGACAAAAGGTTTAAAGTTGCCATTACTATTTTATGTCTAATTAAGTCATTGCAAATTTACACTTACATTTTTGCATGTATATATGTACATATATATAATACAACATTTATATATATATATATATATATATATATATATATATATTATATTGTGTAACAATATAGAACTACTATATAAAACAAATATATTGTGTGACAATATAGAACTACTATATAAAACTATTAATTTACATAAATACAAATGCTACAATATCTATCGAGTAGCAAAATACAATATACATTTATCATATAGAAATGTTTCCATTGAAATGAACCGTTGACTGTTAAAAAATGCTATTTTTCTATTCATTATCTATCTTCAATTTAGAAATTTTTTCTTTCCATCTAAAATATTCATTAAAACGTGTTGCAGCATATCTGAAAAATAATGGAATTAAATTCTTTGCAGTAGCTGTTTACAAGAAGTAGTAGTTCTTTTACTCAAAATTTTTTATACTAATATATCTCCCCAGACAGCACAAATGTCCAAAATCGAGTGATAAGATGTCTTTAGGACATCTTTAAGACAATACCTTGTAAACTTGTCTTGGAAATGTCTTAAAGATGTTTTAAAGACATCTTATGATCAGATTTTGGACATTGTGCTGTCTGGGTCGTTAACAAAGTTAATAAGTAGTTTGTCTGTGATCTGAAAACTACTGCTACAAGATTTGTTCTTATGCAAAATTTCCTTTGTTAACATTTACTTACTCTAAAAAGTTGAAATCAATGGTCGAATGCTGGCTTTGTATGAGAGCCCAGCAGCCCCAAAAGAAGTGCGGCAAAGAAGCGAATTTAGTAACTTGCCAATACAATTTATCAACTTCTTTCTCAGATACCTCATTTGTTGCATTGTACACTCGCAAATATTCTCTTAACCATACTTTTTGGAATTCTTCGTCCGGATATAAAGAATAGTCAGGTTCTTCGACCCCTTAAACGTCATATTTATCATTTTGCATAAGAAAAAGTGACTAGGAATAGGGTTAATTGAAGAAGCATGGAATATGGTAAAGGGATGTGTAATTACCGGCATATTCCGCAAAATGATCAGCAATATCAAATGCTTGGTAATTAAATGCAGTATATTCGTAATCGATAAAAACGACGCTCTCCTGCTGTCGATTATACAATATGTTTGTTAGCAAAAGATCATTGTGAGCATATACCACTGGACTGTTTACTGTCGAAAGTTCTTCCTTCAATATTCGATATTCTTTCTCTAATACTGCATAGGGTTGTATCAGTATCTCGAATCTTAAAACAGATGATAACATCTATAGTTATCATTAGGATATATTTTAAGTACCGTACAAATAATAAAAAATTCATTGTGATTACTTACTTCTTTTGTTTAAGGGAATCGGAAAACTTTTTCGGCATAATTTCCATAAACTTCTCTGCTTTTTCCCAAATAAACGCTTGTTTTGATATAGTCTTATTGTCAATTTTAAGAGAATGCATTTCAGCCAGACGTTTTGCTATTAACGGATATATTTTTGGGTCCCTGACCGTTTCCACTGTCAACGTATCACCTTCCAAAAATTGATAAGCGAATCCATTGTTAAATGTAGCATAGATGCAATGAGTATAACCAGCCTTGTTTAATATCTGTACAAAAAATAATATTGTACACTAATTATTGTTTGTATAGTAAAAAATTTGCTATCTAATCAAATAAATACTTCCAAATATTAATTGCTAAATTTCTTAAAATTAAATTATTGCATTTAATTTGATTTTTACCCGGATATTTTCTATTTCGCTTTTTCTATCAATCAGTAAATCTGTATTGTTGCCATAGACTCTAATCAGAACCATGTCTGTGTAATGATTCGAGTACCATACTCCTATTAATTTATTTGTTATTCCATCAGTAAATGTCTGAAAGAAAAACAAAACAAAATGTCATAATATTTTTACGTTTGATTTTATGTTATAAATAATTAATATCACTTTCATACTTCTGTTACTACAAGATTTCTGTTACTAATATTTAAAATATTACATAAGTTTAAAAAATATATTAATTATTTTATTCATTTATCACAAAGATACAAGAAGCATGCTATGTTTTTGAAAAATATAAAGTAGAACGTTTGGAAATATCATAGCAGACATTCATGTAAAACTTGTTATCAATAAACACCTTGATAATATAGATAAAAAAAAATGTAGATATAAAAAAAATGAATAATAGATGATAAGTGCTCTGTTTTGTATATAACTTAAATAACTCAGTATAAAATATACACATATATATAATATACACACGCGCGCGCACGTACATATACATAATGTATACATAGTTATGTGTTAGTTTATATTATAATATATATTATCTGCATTATGTGTATGTGTGTGTGATACTACAAGATAAAGTATATTTGTTATAAAATATACATTTTGTTTTTTCATTAATTTTACTGAGATTATAAAATCATTATTATGCTGTTAAATTTATTGAATATTATATTACCTTAAAATGCAGTTGCTGTAAAGGCCACGATGGTCTGATCTTTTTTATAATATCTTTAGCACCATTGGTAATTTCATTTTCATCTATTGAAATATCAAAATGTTCTTCACATACATCCATAGTACAGTATTATCTATAACACATTTGTTATTCAAATATTAATCAATTTAAGTGTAAAAAGCACTGGTAAAATTATATAGAAGAGGCTATAAAGTATAGATAATTTGAATTTTTAAGATGGAATAACTTCTTCTCTCTCTATACAATATTTGAATATTTAACAGAATTGCAAAACATTAAATCTATTGTAACCTGTTAAATATTGTTCTACTGAGAAATTTATTAAATTTTAAGTGATTATTAAGTTCTATTTAGGACAAATTTGTAGCCATATTATTGCCTAATAACAGCAAATTGTATGGAAAATTCTGGTAAAGTACATGCATCTAAACTCTGTGAATACCTTACTGCAACTGGAGGAAGTCATGTGAATGTTCATACATATGTCATGTTCATACACATATATATATATATATATATATATATATATATATATAACTTTGCTGATAAGCGATATAAGTAGATACAGTCTAGTAGTACAGTCAACTAGTTATTAGGACGATATAGATGTGCTATAGAATTCTTAAATTTATTAAAGGAATCTTTAGAATTGATTTTGTGTCAGAGGAGTTATTTTACAAAAATTTTATTTAAGTACTCAGTTTTCATATATATTATTAAATACATGTGTAAACTTTGTAAGTTTGTTTTGTCTTTCATAAACTATTCTGATGTAACATGTAAATTTTTAAAGTGAATGTACTATGAAGTATATTTATGAAATTGACTTAATCATTGATAATTATATAGAATTATCAAATATCCGGTTTTGCTAGTGCCACGTATGCTATGTTAATGTTATATAAGAGACATTATTCCTCAGAATTTATATATTATAGTGAGATATTTGAAATGAGAGTGTTATTGGAATTGTACTAGTAATGAAAATTTGAATTAAACCAGTAATAAATTTAAAATGTGAGAGTATACTTGGAATTGTTAGGACAATCGTGTGTAAATTTATACAGTCACGAAAGTATCGAAAATAAAAAAAATTTATTCTATTTCTATTTAATATCTAAATAACAGTATTTTTAAATTGCTATGAATAGGAGGAACACAATATTGCACTCGATTACACATATAAATTAAAAGCCAATTAGTAATTATTACAGATTTATTGAGTTTAATGTTCTCGGTAATAATTATCCATCGATTAATTATGTGTGTCGTCATTACGTTTTCTCACTGTGTTATTCTAAAAGCACCTGTGATTCTCATACGTTCACATGTCATGTTGCAAACGATCGATTGTTGGATATAAAGGCTGCGTTCCAAAATTCATTGCCAGTACTGAAATTCTATAGTATACGTGACATGAATTAGGGAGCGTCCCGATTGACCACGGTACGATTGGACACAACCAACCGATGAAAAGAATTATCTAGTGAATTACTAGGTCGAACCAATCATTACAATCTGTGTCCAATCGTATCGTGGTCAATCGGGTCCCACCCCATGAATTATATATTTTCAGTACTTGCAGTGAATTTCGGAACGCAGCCAAAGTTAAATTCACATGTGCATGCAACTTCAGAGGGTTATGAATCTTTTCCTCTAATGTAAATTCGCGAAAAATGATCTTTTAACTTAAGCTTAGAAAATTTCTACTTGTCACGAGTTTACATTAAAAAAAAGGATTTATGATTGATTCTTAAAAAGCTTGAACATGTAATTTGATTAGAAATGTTGTTCCTTGTTCCTTAGCTAAATATTCGGTTATCTCGCTCTGTTTCTCTTTCTAACATTAATTTATAGCATGTTCGACTGGCTCTGAGTTAACCCACTCTGAGTTATTCAGCCTACGTTTATTGGTCGAACAAGCTTTATGATTGGCTAGTAGACACTTATGACGTCATTAATCGCTCTAGGATTTAATCCAGGGCCAGTCGAACAAGCTATTAATCGATTCGATTCTTTCCCTAACAAATTTAAGAAAAAAGGGTTATTCGTGCATGTTTCATACTTTTTGCTTTTAAAAAGAGATGGACTCCTAATCAGACGCTTGGAAGAAACAATCGAGTTGGTTGTCTCGTTTTTGCTTCTTCGAAACATTCCAATATACTTCTGTCTAGTTTTAAATATGAAAAGTGCAAACAACACGAATAAGCCTATTTTTGGGGAAAGAATCGAATCGATTCTGGGGGACGATTGTGTATTTCGAAACGAAGTGAAAATTACAAAAGTGAGCAAATTCACTAGGCATTGACCAATGAAGTTATAAATATTCTAGTAAATTTGCGCATTTTTGTCATTTTCACCCCATTTTGAGATACACAATCGACCCCCAGAATCGGGCATTTCTGGGTGTTTACGACAATTATGGCTCCTGCACACAGGACGCGGTAATACCGTGTGGTGGAAGTTCGCGCGACAGCCAATCAATATGCTACTTTAATAACCTTCTAGCTCTTACGGAAAAACAACATAGTGATTGGCTGTCGCGCGGACTTCTGTCGCGCGGCAAGCATTACCGCGTCCTGTGTGCAGAAGCCATAATAGCATGTTCGACTGGCTCTGGATTAACTCTGGGTTATTCAGTCTACGTTTATTGGTCGAACAGGTATTTATAAGTTTTATGATTGGCTAGTAGAAACTTATGACGTCATTAATTGCTCTCGGAGCGATTAACCCAGGGCCAGTCGAACACGCTATAATTATCGTAAACACCCTCTACAGTGTACGCAACTGGAAAGCACCCAATAACGCTCGCGAGCGTTGCGAGCGTGTAACGGAACGCGCCCCAAGAGTCGCGTTTCAGAAGTTCTTCGAAAACGACCCTATGATTACCTTGAATAATGGCGGGCTTGCGAAGTACTGTCATATAAATTAATGCTCGCTTTGTATTGTTAGTGTTCTGCATTTTTCGCAAGAAGACGTATTCTAGTAAATGGTAATTTTTAATATCGATATAAAGTTATATATTATATATAAAGTTATACATATATCTGTTACAATTAGGATCATTTTATGACATTAATATTATACAGGTTAGGCTAGGTTACATTATTCCTTGATATTTTTGTACAACATAGAAGTATTATTAAAAAAATTATTTTTACTTGCAGTTTGCAGTCATAATATTTTGTTATACACATGAATTTTGCACCACTATGCCTATCCAAGACTAATTTATAGACATTTTATTCTATTGTCTATACACATTTTATAGTGTACATAAAAAAGTATGTGAAAAGTTTTATTAAATATTTTTATATACACATTGTGTGAATTTTTTGTATTTATTAAAAATATATCAATGAAATCTAGTAAAATAATGCTTGGTCAAAAGACTGTACAATCTACAATTGTTGGATTCTTAGCAAAGACAACAGACAAAAATATTCTGCAGTCTAGGTAGATAAATTTATTTATATCAATAAAAAATGTTCTAACTTATGTATTAAAGTGCATAATTGTATGTGTATAGCTTTTAAAAGAATTAATAAAATATTTTTTTTCAGCACACCAAAATCAGTAAAAGAAGAAATAGTTATATCGGATGTATCAAATACAAAGAATAAATCATTAAATAGTTCTTACATCGACAATAAAAAAAAAATGGCTGGAGATCTGATGACAATAGACTCAATAATAGATCTTGTAAGATTATACTCTCTTTTATTTAATAACGTAACATTATTCTTGTTAACATGCAAATTTTAGTAAATTGTGATTTTTAAGTTTTGTCATATATTTATATTTTTTTACATCAAATTACAGGATAATTACGATAGTTCAGATAGTTCAAATTCATGCAAAAGTCCATTTAAAGCACAAACAAATAGAATCCATGAAACATCAGAATCATATTATATTGAAAGTTCGATGGAAGAAAAAGAGAGAATTGCAAAAGAATCCAGTAATCCAGTTAATAATCTATTGCAGAATAGTACTGATTCTACAAACTCTATTATTCCTGAGTCTTCTGACAGTGAGGAAGATCAGAAATGTATCAGAAGACGCTTATGTTTAAATCGAAAACTGGATAAAGTATTAGCAGAAAAAGATACAGAGCAACAAACTAATATATCCAAAGCTAGTTGCTCTATTGATTGTAATAATAAACATGCTCCTTCTAATAATGACACGTTATTAAGTAAAAATAGAAAAAATGATGTTGCTGATGTAATGTCAAGAAGTATAGAAAGTAAACATCAACAGACTCCTAAGAAATATATCACTAATAAGCAACAGAAAAATTCCATAATTTCGGATTCTGATACTGATAGTCCTCATTCAAAGTACAGTAGCAAGGAATCACCAAGAAAAGAATGGGTAGGGCCTGATATTAAATTAAATTTGAAAGATTTGGGTTTAAACAAGCAATTAGATCCATGGATCCAATCCATTCAGAAGAAACCAGTAATGTCTGTGATACCTGTAAGTTTCATTTTATAAATTAATGTTAATCCTAACAAAAGTATCTGAACTAGGTATTTACCAGCTTTTGTTTGTTTTGTCTGTTGTTTAGACTACAAAGGATAAATTGATAGAAAGACGTGAAAATTTAAAGGACCTTCAAATAGAAATCCTAAGCAAGTTTTGCATTGCGCTTGAATTAATCCCATTACCGGTGTTGGAACAATTCCCGAAATTTGACTCAAACTGCTTTAAGAAGTTACAAGGTCTGCATCGGCATATAAAAGCCAAATTGCGTTTAGTTCAGACAAAGTTATTACGTTTAGAAAAAGATGAAGAAGAGGAATTATTAGCCTTTGCATCTGAGGAAAGCGAATTACCAGCCTTTGCATCTGGAGTATCAGCTGATATACCAGTAACATATGTGTCTGAGAAGTCTCAGATAAGTAATCATGACAATTCTAATATGTCAAGCACCTCGACAGCCAAAAAATTAGAATTCCATCAAGTATCATCCAATATATTAGAATCATGTACAAAAGAACATAATAGTAGTTTTGAATCATCAGCAAGTAAACCTTCCGAAATCGCGGTTACGACTAAAAAAAGTACTTTTCAACTGAAAAGACCTGTTAAAGCAGTATTAAATACTGATGTTTCTAAAACAATAGAAGAGATGTGGGAAAAGGATCAACAAATATCTAGAATAATGAATTCTTCAATAGATTCTGAACATGCTTTTAAAGATACATTTAATAGTGATATTACTGATAGAATTCCAAGCAGCAATGAAAAAAGTATACATGTGCAAAGTAACATCAATGACAGTCCAGATAAATGGATTAGCACCAATAAGTCTCATGGTAAGGCAGATAAATAATATATATTTCCGGGTTATTTATATATAAAATTATTAATAAGATATTTTATAGGCAACCTTCAGACGTTTTCTGCAAAAGTTGAAACACTGACACAACAGATAGAACAATTCCCGGCTCTGGGAAAAGATTGTAATATAGACACGGATAATGATTGTACAGGTATGAATATCATATTTGAGATATAACATTTTGTTGTAAACTTATGTTCATAATTTATCAATCACTGTTCTATTCTAATTATAGATTTGCCTGAAATTCATCATGCACAAAGCAGCAAGAGTGATAATAAAGCAAAATCAAAAATCGGAAAATATAGCGTGGAAAGTGGAATATTCACCGGTAATTATAAAAACGACGGCGTTAGTGGAGAATTTGACGGTTTAACGTATCGGCATTCGCAAGAATTATCAAAGGTATACGAAGTGCTCGTTATGTTGGCTCTATTACATAATTATGATTATCATTGCAATATAATTTATATAGATAACATGCAATGATAAATACGCAATGTACATATATATTATAGATAATATTCTTTTCTTTTAGATATTTCGACAAAAGTTTGGGTTATATACGTTTAGACCAAACCAATTACAAGCTATTAATGCAACATTGTTGGGATTTGACTGTTTTGTTTTAATGCCGACTGGAGGTGGAAAATCTCTTTGTTATCAATTACCTGCACTTATAAGTACTGGACTAACAATTGTTATTTCACCGTTAAAAAGTTTGATTTTAGACCAAGTTCAAAAACTTACTTCTCTTGATGTAAGGAAATGTTTAAATATATATTTGTCATATATATCATATGTCATATATTATATTTCTTAAACGATTTTGGTTTTAAATTTTGCAGATTCCTGCGGCTCATTTATCTAGCTCCGTAACAGATAATCAAGCAGAAGCAGTGTACAGAGAATTTTCCAAAAAAGAACCTGCTCTTAAGATAATATATGTAACACCGGAAAAAATTTCTGCCTCACAAAAATTTTGTAATGCTCTAACTATTTTATATGAGAGGAATTTGTTGGCGAGATTTGTTATCGACGAAGCGCATTGTGTTAGTCAATGGGGCCACGATTTTAGACCCGACTATAAGAAATTAAGATGTCTCAGAGATAATTACCCTAAAGTACCAACAATGGCTTTAACCGCAACAGCTACACCGCGTGTTAGAACAGATATTTTACATCAATTGGGTATGTCCAACCCAAAATGGTATGTTTGATATTATATAAATTTATTTCTTATATAATATATATTTATTTTATAATGTGTTTTACTGAAAAAATTCGACGGTTATTTTCTAGGTTTATGTCGAGTTTTAATAGACCTAACTTAAGATATAGCATAATTTCGAAAAAAGGAAAAAATTGTTCTGATGAGATTGTGGCTATGATAATGACAAAATTCAAAAACGTCTGTGGTATCGTATATTGCTTATCGCGTAAAGATTGTGATGATTATGCCGCGCATTTGAAGAAAAATGGTATTAAAGCATTGAGTTATCACGCTGGATTATCAGATAATCAAAGAAGTAACTGTCAAGGAAAATGGATTTCAGATGAAGTATATTTATCCTATATAAATATTTTTCTTCTCTTTTTTAATAATTTATCTTTAATCTCGTTTATTGTTATTATATATATTCATGTAAATATATTTTTAGGTACGTGTAATATGTGCAACTATAGCTTTTGGAATGGGTATTGATAAACCCAATGTGCGCTATGTGATACACGCCGCCTTGCCAAAGTCCATAGAAGGCTATTATCAAGAAAGTGGCCGCGCTGGTCGTGATGGCGAGATTGCAGATTGCATTTTGTTCTATAATTATACAGATATGCATAGAATCAGAAAAATGATTGAACTGGATAATCCGAATCCACAAGTTATTGGTACGCATATGGACAATTTATTCAAAATGGTGGCCTTTTGCGAAAATACTACAGATTGTCGTAGATCATTACAGCTTAATTACTTCGGAGAAATATTTAATAGAGATCAATGTATCTCAAGTAAAGTGACTGCGTGTGATAATTGCAGATGTAAGGTACGTTATTTAAGATAAATACGTAATTATCGCGATAATATACGTGATTGTGTTATATTAGAGATTATTATTAAGGGATGAATAATTTTAGGATGAGATTACAATGTTAGATGTAACAGAAGATGCAAAAGCAATTATGAAGGGTGTACGAGATATCAACAATAAAAAATTATGCAGTCTTACATTAGTATATTTAACAGAAATTTTTAAGGGATGTGATCTTAAAAAAATCAGAGAATCAGGTTTGACATATTATATTCGCAACATTAGAATTATGTTAGTACTTATATTGTTGATGTGATTAAGTAATTGATCGTAATTTGTAGGTCTTACAAACCATCCTTTATATGGTCGCGGTAAATCATGGAAGAGGAACGATATAGAACGTCTTCTACATTATATGGTACTTCAAGAATATCTACAAGAAAATATGTATATTAATAATGAGATTGCTTGTGCATATGTAAAAATCGGACCAAAAGCGAGTCAACTTATGACGAAAAATGATATAAAGGTAAATTAGCAATATATCTTCAATAGTAACATCTTAAGACTCTTAAGGGCCGAATTCTTGAAAAATGTCACGACATTTCGATAAAAAACTATAGTATATGTAACATAAACTGTAGTTTTTCATAGGAATATCGTATGCGATATTTTTCAAGAATAAGATCTTCCAGGATACTCATTTGTCTTTTTAATAATGTCAGAAGCGCATGCTAAAATTCTTGTGGAATACGTCGAGATAAAAAAGATATATCTATAAAATGACACTTGCAATCGATTAAGCACATCTTTAAAATATTCTAAACACTTTCCTTTTGCTCTAACAATCAATAAATAACTATAAAATTAACGCAAGATATGTAACCTTCTTTTCTAACTTAATATCCTCATTATTCTGTCATATTAATTTTATGATTATTTATTGATTGTTAGAACAAAAGAAAAATCTATGAAATATTTTAGAAATGTGTTTAATCGATCGCAAATATATACGTTATTTTGTGGATGTCTTTTTATCGCGATGTATTTCGCAAGAATTTTTGACATGCGTTTTCTCGTTTCTGACTTCATTAAAAAAAAAGACAATGTAAGACAATGTAAGATACCCAAGAGCCTCAATTCGATTTAATTATTTTATCTTGTATAGATACAAATTCCCATGAGGTCGTCCGACAAAACTACGAGTGGTGTAGCCACAGTTTCGACAGTTACAAAAGAAGTAGACGGTATTATAAAAGAATTGCAAGATCGTTGCTATAGCGAGTTAATGACTATAATAAGAGGAATCGCTGGCGCATTGGATGTATCTGCTTCTTCCATTATGAATATGGTAGCCGTTAGAGTTATGAGCCAACGTTTGCCAGAGACAGAAGAAGCCATGTTGCAAATTCCACACGTCACTAAGGCTAATTTCGTTAAATATGGCAAAGCTCTTTTAGACATAACACAAAAATATGCAGCAGAAAAAACTGGTATGTGTGATACTTATATATGATTAACTGGCATTATGTATCATAAAATATTTCTTACATTTTTCATTATTCTATTATTCTTAGTATTGTTAAACGAGGGTAATGAACAAAAACGGGAAAGCGATGATGATAATGATAATACTTGGGATGACAACAGTTCTAATTTCTCTGGCAATAACAGGAGTAATACTCGCCGTGGCAGGAAGCGGAAGATTGGTAGTAACTCTAGAAGTACTAATAAAAGATATAAACGGGGTAGCTCGAGGTAATAACATATTTTCTTTTATATAACACATGTGCTTGCGTAACGTTTTTGACAGATGTTGATATTATAATTTCGCTACGAATTTACCAAACCTGATATAATATGAAAATTTTATATTTTACATGAATATATTTTTTGTGCAATTTTACAGCACATGGAGGGGGAAAAGTTCGTCAAGAGGCTCAAAAAGTATAACATCAAAACAAAATGCCACTACAAAGAAAATGGTAGGACTTGCCAGTTTCAGCCAAACAAAACAATATCTCGCAAATCCTACCAGGTACATGGACATTCGTTAATTGTTTTCAATTTTTTTATAAATTACTTTAATTTCATGATTATGAGATTTTGTACAAGTATGGGAATAAAAATATTTAAATTTTTTGTAGCACTTAAGTAATTTTACAAAATAATTTCTGAATACTACATTATTTTAATATCTTTCGTTAATAAGACCTGTATATAACAATTTTTGTAATAAAATATTTTAGTAAGATACATAAATGATTTTTCAAAATGATTAAGTGCGCGCGCACGCACTCTTTAAAAGTAGAATAATTATTTAGATTATGCTTTATTTTTATTATCTAATTATTTTATATGCATATATGTGTGTGTGTGTGTGTAATTGGAAATTAAAATTTTTCAGAAAAAGACTTCTTTGTTATTTGTGATAACATATGATCACTTTTATTGGAATAAATTTACATTGTACACTAAATTATTTCTTTAGTACATGTTACATTATCTTTTAATTATTTTACTATATTATTTACTAATATATTAAGTACATTTATAAGTCTGGTTGCATTATCCTAGCCTGTCGATCTTCATTCTGAATATGCTTTTTCAACAAATCCATCACTTCATTATCAAATTCAGGTGGAGTTGGTTTAACTCCAGTTGCCCAATAGAATATGTCCCAATCATTTGATGGTAAATTTATAAGACGGTCATATAATCTTAATTCTGTATCATTGAATGTATTTAAGTACTTTTTTGCAAATGTGCTAAGAAGTAGTCCATTCTCCAACATTCCACGCTTACGAGACTGATATGTCAATCTAAATATAGCAATTAGAATATATTAAAAGTATGTTAGCAATAAATTTTATAAATAAACTAGTCTTAGGACTAATTGTGTTTATGCAGACTACTTTTACATTGAACATTGGCCATGAATAATCAAATCATGAATTTATATTTATATTATACCTATAATTGTAATAAGTGAGTGAATGAGTAAAAAAAAATATATATAATTATTATAAAAAAATATATATATTTTTTATAAAATTATAAAAAAATATATAGTATTATTAAAAAATTACATACTATATTATCATCGTCACTTTTGTGACACCATATAAAAAAATTAGTACGATACCGTGCTCTTTTGAGATCTGCATTTTCTCCTTCGCGTTCTATATAATGTGGGATGTTAGGTTCCCGACTCTCCGGATGGATTAAATCTTGAAACTCATCTTTACGTCTTGAACAACTTGTCGATACAGTTCTTATGAGCAAAAGTGGCTTAACCTAAAACATCGTTCGCGTCTTTATATCTGCCAGAAAACTTTATCTCGGTTTGCATATTTGATGTTTTCAAACTTACACACGATGTGACACGATTAGATATGATATTCATAATCGTATAATCTTTTTGTGTATATAATTTGGAGATATTTTGCCAATGATTATAATGTTTACAACTGACATCGACGGCCATCACCAGTTTTTAATGGACGCCGACAGCTGTGAGAGATAATCGATAAGTTGAAATGATTTAAACCAATTTCGTCGCCAAAACTTGTTAAAACAATCCCAATAACTTTTTATTAGTTAAAAATGTGTTCTAAGTTGTAACATAAAGATTGCTTAGAAGAATCAGACTTAATTTGTAAATATATTGTTTCTGTATCCGCGGTTTGTTTATAAAATGTCAGATTATAATAAGGAGAAACACGATAATTATTTTGACAATAGTAAGAGATTTGAATATCCACACACGGATGAATCATTGATGTCGTTGGATAACACGTTATTGTGTAACATAGATGCTAGTAGCGGATTGCATATTTCCACAACATTTGTGCAGGAATGCAATAGCTCAATGGCAAACATTTGTAAAGAGGACACTATACCCAATAGAATAGCTGTATCTAAAATAACGCGAGGTGTATCTTCTGACTGGCAAGATAAGTCTTTGATGAATCAAGTATTTGCTCAATTTGATTCACAAGATGAACAAGAAAATATTCCAGATAAATGTGATAATATTACTAGTATGGATGTATTCGACACATTTTATGAAGAAGATATAAGCCCTAAACCAGTTAATGTACATTTATTTGAAAAAACTGCGAAGACATCTTTAGATAAACCAGATACAAGTAACTTCCATAAGAATAAATCAAACAACTTATCATGTTTATATATTACAAATTTTACTGATGATACTATGAGAGAAGATAATTTTCTATGCTCTCCTAAACAAAATGAGAAGGATAAATCGCCAGTTATCCAATCAAAATTTAAATCATTGAATAAACATAAAAAAATTCCAAGAAAAAAATTATGTTTAAATGATATTACATTAACATCAGAAGAGACAAGAAAGGAGAATACAAATTCTACAGAATGTTCTATGTTTTATGGTTTACCAGATATTGTGAAAAAATTAATTCAAGAAATCAAAGGAATTTGTGAACTATATCGTATGTTTCCTATTTTTAATTTTTCAATGAAGTTTTTATGTGTGTTTCAATATAAAAATATAAATTTTAATTATATTTTGTAGAATGGCAGGATGAATGTTTAAAGTTAGCAATTAAGATGAAAAAGAATTTAATTTATGCCTTGCCAACAAGTGGTGGTAAAACTTTGGTTGCAGAGATATTAATGTTCAGAGAAATTATATGCAACAAGAAAAATGCAATTTTTATACTCCCATATGTGGCTCTGGTGCAAGAAAAGGTATGATATCCTGAAATCAGGATACTGGAAGATATATATTTGTTTAACTCACTACATGTACTAACAACTAATTATGCTTGTGAATTTATACATATATATAGGTTCAATCAATGGCTATATTAGCATTAAAATTAGGTTTTCTAGTCGAAGAATATGCTGGTACAAGAGGACGTTACCCACCAATTAAACGGCGGAGGAAAAACAGCATTTACATATGTACTATAGAGAAAGCTTTAGGTCTTGTAAATAGTTTAATAGAAACAAAACGTTTAGCTGAAGTGAGCTAAGATATTAATAGTCTATTATTATTATCATATAAAACTGATATAATAAACAAAGAAATATTTGTTGTAGATTGGCATTATTGTTGTGGATGAGTTACATCTACTTGGAGAATCTGGAGGAAGAGGTGCCACTTTAGAAGGGCTGCTAACAAAAATAATGTTCTTTGATGGTATTTTAAATATTCTAATGAAATAATTATGTAAATATGAATATACTCTAAAATATTAGTTTTTTAAATAAGATTATTATTTTTTATAGATACAATACGTTTGATCGGAATGAGTGCAACGATAGGCAATCTAAAGGAAATAGCACAGTTTCTCAATGCAGACACATATTCTCAAAATTTTCGGCCAGTTAAAATAACGGAATATGTGAAATGTGACAATTGTATGTGGGAAGTTAATTTCAATAGTGAGGAACTGCTAATAGAAACAAGCAATAATGATTACAAGGTGATTTAATCAAGCTTTGTTACATAGGATAATTAATCCTGAGAAAACAGTGCTTGGGTCTGATCTGGTAGACTCAGGCACTGTTAATCTGTACGGTTGCTGGAACCGTCAGTATTGCGAGAATTAATAAATAATTCGGATAATAAATTATGTAATAATTTTGCTATGAAGTATCCAGATGACATAGCAGTACTAGATCCAGATAAAATTGGAAGTTTGGTAATGGAAGTGGCGCCAAACGATTCGTGTCTTATATTCTGTTCAAGTCGCAAAAATTGTGAAAATGTGGCTTTATTATTAACAAAAGTCTTACCCAAGTAAATTATTTTTTTTTTATTTATCTCAAATATTATCTCTGAGAGAAAAATATTGAGTACAGCATAAATTGCTATTGCAGAAGTTTAAGTAATCATAAAGTGGAGGCAAAAAGAATCTTGTTAAATGTACTTAAAACTGAGGAAGGATTGTGTCCCATTTTGCGAAAGACTCTCCCTTTTGGTGTAGCTTATCATCACTCTGGCCTCACATCCGAAGAACGGCGCTTGTTAGAGGACGCCTTTAGAGAAGGTACTCTATGTGTAATATGTTGCACATCGACTTTAGCAGCTGGCGTAAACTTACCGGCAAGAAGGGTAATTTTTTTAGAATATCGTGTGATTAATATCATTATTACAGTTGTTTACAATACGATCTTCTGCTAGGTAATACTACGAAGTCCTTACGTCGGGAATCAGTTTCTGAATTTGACTAGATACAAACAAATGATTGGTCGTGCTGGTCGTGCTGGTATGGGAGTTTTAGGAGAAAGCATACTTATTTGTAAAAAACCTGAAATTAGTAAAGTAAGGATTTTGCTTTAAAGCATAATGTAATCAGCTTTCTTAAGAACACTAAGAAATGATTTATATTACAGGTGAAAGATCTGCTAATTTCTCAAATGGACGACTCTATAAGTAGTTTGCATGTAGAGAAAGATAGGGGGATCAACAATTTGATTCTAAGTGCGATACAATTAAACATGGCAACAACTAGATGTGAGCTGCTCAAATTAACGGCCGCGACTTTACTTAGCATTCAGCAAAATAGAATAGATGTTAGTTTAAAAAATATCACGGACGAAACAGTAACGGCATTATTAAAATGTGGAGTAATAAAAGTAAAAAGCAAAAGTTGTAAAACCGGTAATCGTAACGTAACTGTTGTTATTCCATCTCAAGAGCTTACGCGCACAGAGAAATTGTTAAAATCGCCTAAGAAAGGAGTAAAGACGGTCACGTTTACGAGTGAGACTGAATTTCAGCTTTGTGATTTAGGACAAGCTGCAATGAAAGGTAAGAAAGGTAAATTTTGATTGACTATATCTATATTGATTTTCTTGACATTTTATAATATGTATATTATAGGGCCGATTGATTTAAAAACTGCATATACGCTATATGAGGATTTGAAGATGGCCCAAAAATATTTAATACTAACTGATAATCTTCATCTTTTATATCTTGTCACACCTTATGATGTTGTATCTCAGATCACTCCCGTAGGCAGTATCTACTATGATGTGGTAATAATACTGTATATATGCTATATATATATATATATATATATATATATATATATATATATATA